CAGTTCGACTGGAAGGCAAAATAGTGTAGTCTTATAATTATGTCCCTTGGTGTGGGCTGTTTAGGCGCTGGTAGTTTGAGCACCCTGTAGATTCTGTCAATGGTAAGTTCTTAAGGTAAGGCCTCTGGGAGCAGAGACTGAAAAATTTACTGTAGCTTTGGGAGTACGGCTTTGGGGAGTACTTTTTCAGGGAGACAAAGTATGTGAAAATTATTCCTTCCTGCAAAGAGAGGACACAGGTCTTCTCCTTGAAGCCTGCACATTGCCATAGAAGCTCTGCAGCCACGTGGTGTTTAACGTCCACTATGGAGTCCTGGAGCAGGGGCTGTGGCTCTCTTTAAAGACTCCTCCAATCCCTGGAAATATGGCAGCACCTGGGGGGTGAAGAGAGGAGGAGGTGGGGATCTTCAATAGCATGGCAACTGAAGGGATCAGGTCCTTGCATTTTTTTCCACCTGGTCTTGGGTGTCTGGTGTGTGCATGGCTCTATTGTCTGAAGTTAGTGTACTGAAGTTTTGCTAATGTTGCATCCTGGGTTATCAGAGCTCTGCCTCACACATCCATCTTGGTTCGTGGCATTTTTTTTAAATTCTAATTTCTGTGCAAGATATTTAAACTTTTGCTTACCTCTTGACTTTTCTTCTAGATAAACTCCTGGCATGAATGCCACCTTGTCAGCTATTTGTGACAATAAAGCCAGCTTTTGTTTTCAGCATTATGTGTCCTCCAGTGTCTGTGGGGAGCTATAATCACCAAAAACTAACTTTTTTTTTTAAACTTATGGATTAGTTCCTCCCCTCACAGTAGAAAAGACACAGAAGGTTTGGGGAAGGGGTAAAAAGAAACAGAAAGGCAAAGGACAAAAGAGACAGATGGGTTGGGGGAGCTAAAGGCACACAGAGGGACTGGGGGGGGAGAAAGACACAAGTTGGTTATCACTCAGACGTCCACTAGAGGTGCTTCCTGGGTCAGGGCTGCATAATGTGTGCATGGAGACGCTGAATGCTCCCTATAGATGCATCTCTATGAGGAGATGCTGATTGTCGAAGCGTGCTATTTTGCGGTGCATGCACAATAGCTTCCCAACGCTTTCCTATAAAAAGCAGTAGACTGGGCAGAGTTGAAAAGTCACATTTGGAGGCAGCATTGGAAACAACCAAGACACCACCTGTACATCTTTTGGAAGATAGATAGAGCTAGTACCCATGCAGCTCCCTTGTCCAAGAAAAAGTTCCAGATGAGCATGTCAGAAGGATTGCCTTTCCTCAGAACCAATCCCTCAGTAGAGGCGGCACAACTAACCTGGGAGGATATACCCACAGAGATGAACCAAGAGAGGCAAATCTGCCTGGCCAGCCAGACCCGAGCAGGAGCAAAGTTAGCCAAATAAATGGCTAACCAGCACCGGTATAGCCAGGAGAGAGAGCTATGCAGCCTTACCAGCAACATTATAGACAGGAGAGAGCTACGGCGTCCCTTCCGTTTAGGGCCTCGTCCTAGATATTGAGAGGCTGGATTCATAATATAATATTTCTGGAGGAGCATAATAGGGCCTTACATTCCAGAGCCTGGCATGAATACCACAGTGAGCATGAGGCCTACTTCCTAAAACCAGAGCTTTGTCTACAGTGGCCATGGACCCCTGTGGGATTCCACACATTATGATGAAAACTATGGGGGTGAAGAGAATGTCCGTGTCTGAGAGATACGAGGTAGATGAATTAAGAAGTTGGAGATTTGGGTTATTCCAGAGGTCTGGGGTGAACTGATGGAACTCATGACTGAGGAATGGAGGTTGGAGATGGAGAGTACTCACAGGTCTTGGCAAATTAGGATTTTATTTTTTTATATATATATATATATATCTATATATATAGATATATATACACACTGCTCAAAAAAAATAAAAGGGAACACAAAAATAACACATCCTAGATCTGAATGAATTAAATATTCTTCTGAAATAGTTTGTTCTTTACATAGTTGAATGTGCTGACAACAAAATCACACAAAAATTAAAATATGGAAATCAAATTTTCCAACCCATGGAGGTCTGGATTTGGAGTCACACTCAAAATTAAAGTGGAAAAACACACTACAGGCTGATCCAACTTTGATGTAATGTCCTTAAAACAAGTCAAAATGAGGCTCAGTAGTGTGTGTGGCCTCCACGTGCCTGTATGACCTCCCTACAACGCTTGTGCATGCTCCTGATGAGGGTGGCGGATGGTCTCCTGAGGGATCTCCTCCCAAACCTGGACTAAAGCATCTGCCAACTCCTGGACAGTCTGTGGTGCAATGTGATGTTGGTGGATGGAGCGAGACATGATGTCCCAGATGTGCTCAATTGGATTCAGGTCTGGGGAACGGGCGGGCCAGTCCATAGCATCAAAGCCTTCGTCTTGCAGGAACTGCTGACACACTCCAGCCACATGAGGTCTAGCATTGTCTTGCGTTACGAGGAACCCAGGGCCAACCACACTAGCATATGGTCTCACAAGGGGTCTGAGGATCTCATCTCGGTACCTAATGGCAGTCAGGCTACCTCTGGCGAGCACATGGAGGGCTGTGCGGCCCCCCAAAGAAATGCCACCCCACACCATTACTGACCCACAGCCAAACTGGTCATGCTGAAGGATGTTGCAGGCAGCAGAACGTTCTCTACAGCATCTCCAGACTCTTGCCACATGTGCGCAGTGTGAACCTGCTTTCATCTGTGAAGAGCACAGGACGCCAGTGGCGAACTTGCCAATCTTGGTGTTCTCTGGCAAATGCCAAACGTCCTGCACGGTGTTGGGCTGTAAGCACAACCCCCACCTGTGGAATTCGGGCCCTCATACCACCCTCTGACCGTTTGAACAGACACATGCACATTTGTGGCCTGCTGGAGGTCATTTTGCAGTGCTCCTCCTTGCACAAAGGCGGAGGTAGCGGTCCTGCGGCTTGGTTGTTGCCCTCCTACGGCCTCCTTCACGTCTCCTGATGCACTGGCCTGGATGAGCTGCACTAGCTGAGCCACTTGTGTGGGTTGTAGACTCTGTCTCATGCTACCACTAGAGTGAAAGCATTGCCAGCATTCAAAAGTGACCAAAACATCAGGCAGGAAGCATAGGAACTGAGAAGTGGTCTGTGCTCACCACCTGCAGAATCACTCCTTTATTGGGGGTGTCTAGGTAATTGCCTATAATTTTTACCTGTCGTCTATCCCATTTGCACAACAGCATGTGATTGTCACCCAGTGTTGCTTCCTAAGTGGACAGTTTGATTTCACAGAAGTGTGATTGACTTGGAGTTACATTGTGTTGTTTAAGTGTTCCCTTAACTTTTTTGAGCAGTATGTGTATATGTATGTATGTATGTATGTATGTATGTATGTGGTGGTGGTGACGGAGTGTGGATGAAAACCCCTTCCACCTGAAGTAAGTGGATAGTCAATACATTGCTAAACATAAATACACACACCAGTCAGGCCATAAGACTTGCTTTTCCCACAGAAATCTCACTTTAAAAGTGCTCTCACTACTGCAAGGGGTTCTAGGTAGACGTATGGAAATGAGCTCAACAAAGAAACACATTTTTGCCTTATAATTCCCCAGACACAAAATAAATATATAATAACTCACACTTTGGATTAAAGGAACACTATAGGTTTAGGAATACGTGTGTATGTGTGTGTGTGTATATATATATATATATATATATATATATATATATATTTAAAACGTGGTGGGTTTTTTTTTCTTCCCCCTCTTACTTTTCTTCCCTTGGCATGCAGCCACCCAAGCTGAGATCATCAAGATTAATGATCTCAGTCAATTCAATGCGTCCCCAAATTGCCATTCTGCACCACTAAAATTCTGCTCAGAGCATTTGATTGAGAACTGATTTTGACTCAGATGTCGAAGAAGACAGCCATTAGAGGTGTATTGAACCTGTAACAAAACATTGAAGTATCCACTAAGCAGCAGTGATGACTGCACCCAGACCACTTCTTGAGATTAAGTGGTCTGGGTGCATTTAGCTGTCCTTTTAAACAGCATCCATTGCAAAAAGTACCTGTAGAAACGCAAGACACTGTCTTTCTGTGCTCATCTGCATGTCAAGCTGGGATTTCAGGGATAGTTGCGGAATCGTGATTTCTCTGATATTCTGTGCCTAATGTGAACTTTCCATGGACCCATTTGAAATATACAGGACATGTACAACAGTGATTATTCTATTACAGATATTCTTTTCTCTCTTGCTTGGCCTTCTGTAAATATGTCCCCAGAAATTACAACACTGGTTTTCTGCTGCGTGTACTTTTCAGACAAATGTAATCATGTTAAATTTCAGCATCATTTAATACATTAGAGCAGGACAATTGTAAATCAGACTAAGTAGCTGACTGCACACTGAGTAATACATTATTTGCAGCAGTTGTTTTGTTGCAACTCTTGCAGAGGTGTGCCGCATACATTGCTTTGCAATGTCCTTGTTATAACTTTAGCACTAAAATTTTATTCAGATATTTCATATGTGATCATCGGATTAGGAAATTGGGTTAACAAATAGAGGGAATGGAATCAGATTATATAGGTGGAGTCTAGTACACCACCATCTCAAACCTTCACCCGTATCCCCTGGAAATGCTGATACAGACAACTGATGGCTAAGTTTGGCTATTTCATCTTAGCCTCTCAAAGGCAATGCCAAGTCACTCTCCTCCACTTACGGTAATTAGGGGTGGTAAAAGTGAGCATACAGACAGCACTCTTCTCTGTCAGTTCTGAACCCTATTTTTTTTTTTTTTAATAGAAAGACATAATCTGTTAACAATAAGTCCATGTTACGAAGCAAACAGGATGATAGTTTGCATTTATATTTTTACATTAACAAAAAAAAGTTATCGCACAAAGGAACCAGAAGACACTGGTTTCATCAATGATAAAATCTGCTGTGACAATCTTTTTACAAAATAGCACCAGCATACTAAGAGAAGAGAATTAATAAGATGTACCATAGGATACTGGAAGATAGCAATAAAGAAAACAAGGATAAAATAAGTCTTTATTTATAGTTTTATAGTAAAGGTGAGTGTTAACTTTGATATGACCATTGGGCTTATGTACATAGCAACATTTCATGGTGTACAAATGAGAATAAATAGAATGGATTATTTGCTAGGCAAATGGATTTTTGACAAGTAAAATTAAAATTCTGGTGAAGAGATGCATTGTATAAACCAAGAACTCATATCATATGCTAACATGCCCATTTTACACAATCCAAGTGAACTCAAGTGAGTTGCCAATCTTTTAATCTTGGAAAATGAAAAATGAAGGAGAAAAAAAAAAAAATGCATCATCACATACTTCATTTTTGTTTAAGCTATAAAAGGCTGTAAATCATTTCTACCCAACATTAAGATCTTCTAGAAATAAAACGGTTATGTTAACACATTATTTGTATTCAGTGTAGTTATATCTGCTTCCTATAAAACACAATGTAAATATCCAATGTTTAGTTGCCCTAACACTTCTAGAAAGTATTTGCAGGATATGTTTGGAAAATTTGTTTCCTTATTTTCTCCAGAAGATAGATTTAGTGGGAGAGAAACAAAAGAAGCACACCTCTAAATACTATCATTGGTTAGTCATAACTGCCAAAAAAAAAAAAACCTTAAAATTTTTAAAAAAACAAAATAAAAATCCGACAAATATAAAATAATTAAAACAAAAATATAAGAGCCACCACGATTATCTGCTTATCATATATATATATATTTTTTTACAACAGGAAAACAAATAACTGGGGAGCACCAACAATAAAACAAGTACATCCCTAATATGAAGTGTGAACTGCTGGTATTCATTTGGCAAATACATACAAGAAAGGAAATATCTGCTTAAACAACTGGTCAAATTGCAGGTTTCTCTTGGTCAGTAGTAGAATAATAGTAACAGTTTTCAATATCAGTCCTTTACAAACTGATTTAAGGAAGATGTAGTTCTCGCATCTTGGCATTATTGAAAGGTGTGTCTGTGGGATGATGGGGGGAGGAGAAACAACAACAAAAAAGGCCACCGGGTCAACCTGTTTTAAGAAAAGTGGAATTTATCAACACTCTACAATTGACTTAAAGTCATTATCCCCATGAGTTATTTTCAATTTCACATAAACAGATACACATACAAAATGTAAATATATAAACAAAGAATTTAAAGATAAAAATGCTGTGAAATTCATTATTGAATGCAAATTTGAGCCCAGAAGATCATACCAAAGTAAAGCACCAAATATGTACCTATTTAAAATCTCTTGTGGCACACATATGTTTCTTAGTAAAAATATCCAAATTGATTTTGAACTTGTTGTATCACAAAAACAAAACAAAAATAATTAAATGAGTGCAGTTGCATGACTTTGATTTACAGGCTCCAATGCCTGCTTCATTCATTCGCTCTGTGGACACCTACCATACAGTTGCCATACTGTAGGCAAGGCGTATTGGGAAAATACATGCAACTCAACACACAAAGTTGTTGTTTTTTTCCTTTTTTGTACTTCTATTGATATGAGATACAGACGTTGCCTTAAAATTTAAATAACAGAAGGGGGGAAAAAGAAGGGGATAAAAAAAAAAAAAAAAAATTAAAAAATTATAATTATTCAGTCCAAGAGCCTAATGGAATTGTAAACTAATAAAAAGAAGTCCTTAATCTGATGGATAGGGCCTAATTATAAACTATGACAAGGTTGAAGATCTTAAGCTCGTAGAGGCTGTTCAATTATTGCTGGGTTCAGCTTAGCTTGCTTCCATCCGTATTTTCTTTCTGCTTTGTGGTTCTTCAGGTTCTGATTCAGAACTGGAGTCAGAACCACCATCAAAGGCTGAAATGGTGCTGCCCTTGGGATTGGTGTAGAGGCTGCTGTCAGAAGAAGAGTAGTTGGTCTGCAGCTGAGAGCTAGATCTTGCTTTCTCCAGTGCGCGAACTGTGAAAAGGAGGAAAATCAGGATAAGATTATCAAGCTATGAAACAAACATATTACCAATGCCCATAAGCATACCAGAAAGACCTTTTGCAAAGCTTTACACACATGGAGAACAATAGAAAGGTAAATTTGAAGCATATATAACTTTGTTATGTAGTCACCATATTCCCTACAGAAAATATGAGAACATTGAGAACAGATGTAAATACCTTGAAAAATATGTACACCTTGCCATCCAGATAGTCCCACTTAGGTCTCATGCAAGTCACTTGCGGCAAGGACCCCTCCCTCCTTTGGCATGGAGGAGTATCTGGAGTCCCTCACTAACAAAGTCCAAGAAAAACAAAATCACCTAAGATTGCAGATTTTTATGTGCACTGTATTTTGGTAGTGGATTGGGTTAGGAACAATCTGTTTAGGTTACCTCTGTAATAGCAAACGTAAGCTAAAACTTGTGAGCGTAAACACAGTTCTGCTTAATTTAATAATAATGTGCACATTCCTTAGTAACCTCCTCTTTGCCACCATAGCAAAATAAAAAAAATAATTTTAAAAAGTTACTTGCCCACTAACCGAAATACCTATGCACATTTAAATAACTGGAGATTTTTAGTATAACTCCAATGGCCATTTAAGTGTAAGCTCACCTGCCACATCAAGGCAAGCCCTCTTAGAAGAGTCCTACACTAATAATTCACATTGCTGTTTTCAGCTAAAAGGTAAAATCTCTAATGAGACAGAGAAGGATATTTTTTCAAAACCATTATTAACCCTTAATAGGGAACACTTGGGGTGGGTGTCAGCACTGTAACATGGCTTTGTATACAAAAGTAAATACAAATACATAAAATTAAGCACTGCGCTCAAACTCCAAACTCCCCTCGCAAAAAAAACAAAAAAACACTACACCGAACACTATTCAGTTATATTATGATTTTCTAATAAATAGGTGCAAAACACAACACTGCTCTTAGAGTGAAACAACAATATCTGTGAACCCTTTTGTTAGCATTAACCCCTTAAGGACCGCGGACTTATGAGGTACATCTGACAAAAAAAAAAAAACAGTCCTTAAAGACATACCTCATCTGGCGCTTCCAGACGCTCTAAGGGTATTACTCAATATCGAGGCATCGTGGAATACCCCCCCACACTGCCAGGCACCCGAGTGAGCGCTCCCCCTGGAGCGATCACTTCTGGGTTCTTGCACGTTGCGCCCGGCAGTTTAGGCAAGAGCATCGGAAGCCTTCAGGCAGGCTTCCGATGCTCTGCCTGTACTGAGTGGGGGCACTCAGTTTAAAAAAAAAAAAAAAAAGTTGAAAAAATTAAAAATGTAATTAAAAAATAAAAATTAACTGCTACCCCTCCCTCCCCCGCCCCATGTACTTACTGATCGCCGCCGTTACTCCGCTGGCGATCGGTCTGCTTCTGAGGGGGACTTTGTTGACAGTCCCCCCCTCTGCAATTTAGGACCCCCAGGGGCCATCTGTCCAAAGTGCAGCTAGTAGGGGGACTGTCTGAGCTGTCAGGCAGTCCCCCAGGCTGCTAAAAAGTAAAAATAATTATAATCAAATAAATATATTATACATATACAGGTGGTCCTCATTTAGCGACCTACCTGTTTTACGACGGCTCGTACTTACGACCAGGCATAAAGCGGGGGCACGTCTTGCTCTGGTGCACATGTCTATGTTCGGGGTTTACGGTAAGGTAGGAAGGGGGAGTAGCGTTTATGTAGGAACGCTAACTCCTCCCACAAATACAGGCCATCGGCCTTAAACATACATATATAAACATTTATAAAAAAAACAAATAAAAACACTAATTTTGGCTAGCATTTGTGACTAAGTGGCTACTACAAAAGACTGGACATACCCTATTTTGAATACCCTGTGTTGTCAACATTTGAAAATGGTATGCCATGATGGGGTTATTTCACATTCCTAGGATACCATATGGTCTTAAAAGGCAACACAGACCCAGCAAACCAATCTGGCAAATTTCAATGTGCAAACATGGGAAAGCCCTACATTTGACCCCTGTAAGTTTGCAAAAACCCATAAAACCTGTACATTGGGGGCATTGTTGTACTCGGGAGATGTTGCTGAACACATATTGGGGTGTTCTTTGTCAGTAACATATAACAGGAACTGAGAATCCATGCCTAAAGTACAATGTGAGAGAAAAATAACAAAAACATAACTACCCAAAAGTTTGACAAGGGCTGGTGGTAGACTTAGTGCATTGAAAGTGTTAAAATACCACCATTTGAAATACCCTAAGGTGTTTACTTTTCAAAAAATATATGGTTTGATGGGGGCAAATTACATTGGCTGGCTTTAAAAATGTCTCAAATAGGACATGGGTGCATGATGACAAGTTGTGAAAATTACAAGTTGGAAAACTGGAATGCGCACCCTCTAAATAAGGTCTTTTAACCCCCAGAGAATCCAACACACCTATACATGGGTGGTATCCCTGTACTCCTGAGATGTTGCTCAACACAAATTGGGGTGTCTAATGGCGAGAAAAAAATTTTTTTTTACTTACCGTAAATTTATTTTTCCTGAAGATTAGAGGCAGTGCTTTACCAATGAGATTTCTAATCTGGAGGGGAAAAAAACAGGCAGGCAATTCTCCAAACTTTTTTTAAAACCCTCCCCCTTATTAAGCACCTTCCTATAAATGTCAGATACCAAAAACAACCCCAGAAAATACACAAGCCGGTTACATGCACAATTCCGAAATTATTAGAAAAAAAAAAAAAGGGGGGGGGGTTGAATTATAGCATTGCCTCTAATCTTCAGGAAAAAGAAATTTACGGTAAGTAAAAAAATTTAGTTTTTCCCTTCAGATTAGTGGCAGTGCTTTACCAATGGGATATAAAAAAGCAATAACTTAGGGTGGGATTCATTTCACCACTGCTTGTATCACCTTGCGCCCAAAAGCTGCATCTTCTGAGGCCAGTATGTCTAACCTGTAATGTCTTGAGAATGTATGAAGTGATGACCATGTGGCCGCTGAACAAATCTGGGAAGGCGTAGCCGCAGCTCGCAGAGCCCAGGACGTAGATATAGCTCTAGTAGAATGGGCCTTTACGGAGCCTGTGATTTCCGCGTTACTTGTGGAATAAGCTAAATGAATACAATCCTTCATCCATCTAGCCAGAGAACTTTTTGAAGCCTTCATACCTTTCCTTGCGCCGTTAATTAAGACAAACAGGCTGTTATCCTTCCTGAAAGACTAGATTTTAGATATTGCATAAGACATCTCTTCACATCTAGGCAGTGAAATTGTCTTTCCAAGGCATTGGATGGATTTTGGCAAAAAGTAGGCAATACCACTTCTTGATTGATGTTAGATGAGGTCAAAACCTTAGGAATAAAAGACGGATCAAGCTTTAAAACTACCTTGTCTTGAAGAAAAAACAAAAAAGGAAAATTCGCCCGTAGAGCTTGGAGTTCACCTACTCTCTTGGCTGATGTAATTGTCACCAAAAATACGGTTTTTAATGATAAAATCTTCAAAGACGCGTTTTCTAGACCGTTACTCTTTAAAATTTGGAATTCAGACACCAAGCCGTCAATTGGAATCTCTGTAGGGTTGGAAGAGGTACCATGGAATGTTCCAGTATTTCTTCTGATAGGGGAAGCTTCCAAAAGGTGGCCCCTGGTATGTTTAGAAGAACTGAAAACCAAATTCTTCTTGGCCACCAAGGGAGGATTATGATAATCCTTACTCTTACCAACTTGATCTTTTGAAGCACTCTGTGAATAAGAACTACCGGTGGGAACACATATGCTAGGTTGAACTTCCATGGTACTGAAAGAGCATCTATGATATCTGGTTTGCCTGCAGGATTCCTGGAGGCCATGAGGTCTATTTCTGGACAACCAAAGAGGTCTGATATTTGCTTGAAAACTTTGCACGAAAGGGACCAATCTGTTTGCTTTAAGTGTTGACGACTCAGGGTGTCTGCTAATACGTTGAATTTTCCCATAATGTGAACTGCCGAGACTGAGAGTAGGTGAACTTCTGACCATAGCATGATCTTTGAACATAGATTTTCTATTTTTGACGATCTTGTACTGCCTTGTTTGTTCACAAATGTAACTGTCGTTCGATTGTCTGAACATATCTGAATATGCCGATTATTTATCTGGAACTGAAATGCAAGGAGAGCCATCCATACTGCCTTCAATTCTTTGAAGTTCGAGGAACTTCTTAAATCCTTTTCTTGCCAAAGCCCCTGCTTCTTTTGGTCTCCTAACTGGGCCCCCCAGCCTAATGCCGAGGCATCTGTTCAAATTCTGAAGGAATCGAGATGAGGTCCACCACGGAAGACTCCTCAGCGTCTGACTGTTGAATTTCATCAGACCATGCAGGCCTGTCTGTCTGTTCCAAACTTTTAAAATGTTTCTCTGAAGAGGTCTCATTCTGGCTTTTGCCCAACCGACTGCAGGGATAGCGGCCGTAAAAAGACCCAGTAAACTCATCGCTTCTCTGACTGAGAAAACACCTTTTTCTCTGAGCCTCTGAATTGTTTGAGTTATCTTTAGTTTCTTCCTTTCTGGAAGGAAAATCTTCATGGAGATTAATTCTTTGAATCGACCTAAAAACGGAATCCTTTGAACAGGAACTAATTCTGATTTTTAAAAATGTATTAGCCAACCATGATTTTCTAGAGCTTGTAAAGCTGTAATTGGGTCTAAAGCTAGTTGTTCTTTTGATTCCGCAATCAAAAGCCAGTCGTCCAAATAAGGGATGACATAGATACCCAAACCTCTTAGGTATGCGGAGATGACTACTAGCAGCTTTGTGAACACCCTTGGAGCAGATGAAAGGCCGAATGGAAGGGCTTTGAATTGGTAATGCCTGGTTATCATGGGATAGGCATAAGGCTATCCTAACTATAAGATAAGGCTAGGGACTAATGAAAGTTTTTAGAAAATTGGGCAGACTAGATGGGCCGAATGGTTCTTATCTGCCGTCACAGTCTATGTTTCTATGTTACCGTCTGGATGCAGATTGCAAATCTTAAGAACCTTTTGCTGGATTCTGCTATGGGCACGTGAAGATAAGCGTCTTTTAAATCCAGGGACGCAAACCAATTCCCTGGTTGAATAAGAAGTGTTGCTGATTTTATTGATTCCATACGGAACTTCTTTTTTATAATACACTTGTTTACGGCCTTTAGGTCTAGTATGGGTCTGAATGAACCATGTGGCTTTGGAACTAAAATTAGCCTTGAATAAGTGCCCTGATGTCTTTCTCTTAGGGGTACTTCTTCTATTACTTTCTTCTGCAGGAGTCTTCATACTTCTTGCATTAAAGCTTTCTCTGTTGCCTGAGAATGAACCCTGGAACATAAATAAGTTCTCTTTGGGGTATTTGCCAGTTCCAGACCGTACCCGCTCTTTATTACAGAAAGAACCCAGAGATCTGATGTAGTACTTTCCCAGTGATTTAGGAAGTGGGTCAATCTTCCTCCCACTGGCCTGGCATCACAACATTCTATTTCTCTTGTCCGTGAATCTTTCTTTCTTTCTGTAATCGAAAAAAACTTTCCTCTGTTGACCCCTGTAATAGTTCCTACAAAAGGAACTTCTAACTGAGGGCTGGATCCCCATTTTTTTGTTCCAAACCTGCTTCTTGTGGGTTTCAGGCAAGGCCTTCCTGCCTTCCTTCATTCATTTGTTTTAACAGATCATCCAGTTTTGACCCGAACAGTCTACCAGACTCAAAGGGTAAGTCACACAAAGAATTTTTAGATGCAGCGTCAGCTGACCAGTTTCTAAGCCAAAGTGCTCTCCTAGATACTGTTGTTAGACCCAAATTCTAGGCAGATAATTTCAGACTTTCTGAAGAAGAATCTACCAAAAAATCTGCAGACATCTTGGCATCTTCTAGCCAATGTTTTTGGGCTTTAGCCTGAGCCGCTGAGGAAACAAACATTTTCTTTAAAGACGAGTCTATACGGTTTTCCATCACATTCCTTAAACCACTCGAGTCACCTATAGGTAACGCAGTTTTCTTTCCTGTTTGAGCTATAGGAACATCTACTACAGGAACTGTATCCAGCAGGCAGTCCTGGTCCACTTCTATGGAGAAAAGAGTTTTAAAGTGTTTTGATATAAATGGTTTATGACCTGGGAATTTCCATTCTCTTAAAACCATCTCCTCTAGCTGTGGATGTAATGGGAAAACTTTAGATCTTTTTCCTGCTATCCCATCCTCCATAAGGTTCTGCACTTCCTTTATTAACTTTCCAATGGCTTCCTCTGAAAGGCAAATCCCTCCTCAGAAGAATCATCTCTAGAATCAGAAGCACAAGTACCCGAGCTTGCATCTTAATCTTCCCATGATCTCGACCTTTTCTTGGATTGTTTTACTACCTGTAAATCCTGAGCAACAGATGCCTGAGCCGACTGCATACTCTGTTGTAACCAGCTTAAAAATGTGGACATTTCTGTTTTTTTAGCTTCCTCCGAAGCCTCTTTGGAACATAGAGAACAAAGTTTCCTTTTAAATCCATCTGGCATAGGTTGGAAACATACAGAGCAACTTAAATGCTTGGATTTTGCTGAACATTTCCCCTTCTCTGTCGATTTCTCTGTAATGTAATCTCAGGATTGGACATACTGAGGAAAGATAAGAGAAAGGGAAACATTTTTTTAATTCCCTTTATGATTCAGACTAGAGCCATTTAAAATAAAAGCTAAATGTCTTACCTTAAATGGTCTCACAGTGTGTTGGAGGGCAGGTGAGAAACACACTCGCAACAGATCTGAGAGCTCCTGGCAAACCGAGGTTGCTGCTGGTAAGTTGCTCCTTTTCAGTCCTGTAAACCAACTGAACGAAAAATGCTGAGTTCAGATTTGGCGCCTGAATCTTGGATCGCATTGCGCTCCGCGAATTCCCGGTGGAACACAACGTAACCTGTACGTGCGTTCCACCGCCAGGACCTCCCAGCTGACGCACGCCTGCGTCCTTCGTCTGACCGGCACCTGGCGCGGAAGAGACGGAACATTATAAACTTTGTGAAGAACCCGCCCGTCAGGCGTACAAAATTTTGCTTCAAAACAAAAGGAAGCAGAGCCTCCCGAGCCTAAGCCCTTCTCACCTGCTTCCCTGGAGAAAAACCTGCTATACCTCCTCTGCCGAAGGCAGGCAAAGAACTGGGGTTGTTTTTGGTAAGCTGACATTTATAGGAAGGAGCTTAAGAAGGGGGACGGTTTTAAAAAAGTTTGGAGAATTGCCTGCCTGTTTTTCCCTCCAGATTAGAAATCCCATTGGTAAAGCACTGCCTCTAATCTGAAGGGGAAAACTGTATATAATATGTATGGGTACAGTAAATAAATAAGAGGAAAATTACAGCTAAAACACAAACACCGCAGACATTTAAAAAGTGCCCTGGTTCTTAACGGTAAAAAAAAAATTGAAAAACGGTCTGGTCACTAAGCTCTTTGGAGGATTATGCTACGTGTATGCATCAACCCATAACACCTAAAGGACAGAGACAACTGTACATGTTCACTGAACAAAACAAAATGTAAAACCCTAGAATTTGAGCTATATATCTGTTCAACCATAATTTACCGCTTTCATATTAAGTGCACACACACTTATTACATGTCATTTTGTTCAGCAGAAACAGGGCTTTCATTTCACATCAAATATTTACATATTAAACCTTTTAATGCCTCAGGAGTACAACAGTACCACCCCATGTACAGGTTTATGGGGTTTTTGAATGTTACATGGTCAAATATAGGGCATGCAAATTAAATTCTCTGGACTTTTTGCCCGGGTTGACAGGCAGGTCCCTTAATAAAATAAAAAGCACTCCCATGACATAAAAAGTAAAACATAGCTTTTATTGCTTCACATATAAACAAAAAACAACTATTCAGTTTGACATTTTCAAACTTACATCACGATCACATGGCCTGCGAGGGCTGGTCTGGAAGCAGAGGGACTGCCTGGCTTGTCATGCAGTCCTCCCTACCAAGATCAGTGCGGATCACGGCCGTAGAGGGGCTGCAAACAGTTAGGTCGTACCATGCTGTCCTAACAATGCTTAAGACCGCTTTGTGTAGGGTGGCTTGGAACATCCTAATGGTGTTAACGGGTTAACATCATCATGGCCAAATGAAAAAAATATCTGTAAACCCCCACTACACTGGGTTGTGTCCTGATCATATATCCAAAATCATATAGTCCATCACTTTTTCACACAACACATTTCTTCAAGGACTAGTTTAATTTTTTTTTATTATATTAATATATATATATATATATATATATATATATATATATGTCTTTCTTTGCACACTTTCAATTTGATCAATTAGGAGGCAGGACTATGCTAGAGAAAAGATTAATAAACAGTGGCATTTTACAGTCAACAGAATTTAGAGGAGCCACCTGAAGAAGTTTAAAGGAAATAATAGATTGGCCACAAATCAATATCTAAGCAGATATAACATATCCAAGCTTACATAAAAGGTGAGCTGCTTGCTAGAAGCAATAAAAAAAACAAAAAAAACATTTTAGAGATAGATAGCGTATTATTAATGATGTGTTTTGGTTCTTTACATGATAGTAACTCACCACTACGATATGAATTATGATGCTCTTTATCATAGAACTCACATTCATATACAGGACAAAAATAAATAAATCAAACAAACGAAAACCCTACTGCAAAATTACAATTCTGACAAACAAACAAATAGGCTTGGCAAGAGTCACCATAGCTGTAATGAAGAAGCAGGAACAGCTTCGTGTTCGAAGATATAAAGTATAATGGTCATGTAGGTAGGGCAGTGAGGACAATGTCTACAAGTCTTCCTGGCCTTCCTAAACTGAAGTCATCTTTCAAATGAACTGTCATAGTTAGAGGGAGAAAAACAAAGTCCAAAAACAATAGTGCTTAGGTTAATAGTAGCTATTAATTACATGACTGGAGTTATATAAAGGCCAGGGTCTAGAGAAACTCCTGATGGGACACCCAATAAAGGATCACTCCTTTTGAGAGCTTTATCATTTATTTGAGATAATTTGTTTCTTGGACATATTCTACTGGCTTTCAGCCAAAGTCGAAATTTGTACACCCTCTGGAAAGTTAGCAGTTTCCTCTTGTGTTACTAGTCACATGACTGGCCGTTTTCTCCAAATTAAACTGCAAAATGTATAGAAGCCAAGTACAAGTAACAATAGTTGATAAAAGAACAATTGCATTAGGTTTTACCTTGTTGTTCTAATAAAGCATTCTGTCTCTTTAGATCGTCAATATCTTGCTGGTGTGTGTGATTTTTCCTCCTCATGTACTGGATGTATTCTGTGGCTTTGTCCAGTATTTGAGCTCGTGACGCCTTTGATGGAAAAGATAAAGCAACCAAAGTCTTTTAAAAGGACAATATAGCTAGAATCAAATAATAATGATACTTTATTGCAAAACAAGTCAAAGTAATTTAATTTAAAGGTGCACTATAGGGATCAATATAACGTACTACCGAGCAGAGTACAGAAAGATTCATAAACTCTGACCAGGAGTACAAAAAGAGGGGCTAAAGGGGTAGCAAGACGGGCTTGACCCTACATACAAAATTGCCAAAAATGAACAGTAGTAAGAGGAAAAACTCCCTAAAAGAGAAAAGAAGAAAATCCTCTACTAGAGCTACCCCCAAGCAGAAAAATATGTGTGAAAAAATTAAATATTAAAATACATATATCTAATAATAACCTTTATTGTACATCACTAAATATTTATACCCCAAACCACAAAAAAGAAAAATAGAATAAAAAGAGAAATGCAGACTGATAACGGCTACAAACAGCTGCTGAGCATGTCTATAACATGCTGAGTATAACAGATACAAATTAGATAGTTACAAGACACAATCAGTGTAAACAATGTAGCAACCTCTGTAAAAAAAAACCTCAAAAGCAGCAGCAGCTAAAAAGGAAGCCAAAATAGTACTGAGCTGTAACCCTATGTATCTCTAAACAGGAGGCACTAATGTAATTCACTTTCTATAAATAGAAATAAATATAAAGAAAAAACCCTCACTTCCTTCTATATACTCAGAAATAGGTAACAATCCTATTAGTAATGTCAAGAAATCAAAAGGATAGTAAGATGAGTAGTATAGAAAAATGATATAGAAAGTGGGAGATAGACAGGGTATAAACCCTCCACTGTATAGTCTCCAGAATGTAAATACAAATGCCCCAATAATATCAATGACCGGCCGGTCGTTTGAATTACTCTGGGTACAGCAAACGTACATACAGCTGTGTATAGTAAAGTTCTGCATAGATGTCTGCATCAAACAATTGCCCAACGCGCGTTTCGGCGGACAAACCACCTTTTTCAAGGGCATCATAATAAGTCTTTTAAAAGAACAATATAGCTAGACTCAAATAATAATGATACTTTATTGCAAAACAAGTCAAAGTAATTTAATTTAAAGGTGCACTATAGGGGTAGGAACACAAACATGTATTCCTGACCCTATAGTGCTAAAATCACTATCTAGCCCGCTGCCTCCCTTAACCCCTTAAGGACCAAACTTTTGGAATAAAAGGGAATCATGACATGTCACATATGCCATGTGTGCTTAAGGGGTTAAATAGGGTGAAATCTCATCTTATTTATAGCACCGGCATTTGGCTCCGCCTCAGATCCACCTCCTTGGCTATCATTAGAATTGATGATCTCAACAAATCACAATGCTTTCCTATAGGAAAGCATTGAATTGGCTGAGATTCCCAAGGAGGAGGGCCAGTGGTGGGGCCAAATGCCCCGCTGGTCAATCAGCATCTCCTCAGAGATTCACTGAACCAATGCATTGTTATGAAGAAAGTTATGTGTCTCCACGCAAAGTGTGGAGACGCTGAACGTCAGTACTGCTGCAGGACCACCTCCAGTTGCTGTCACAGGAGTGGCCACTATGTGTACCTAGGCACCAATGTAAAAACTGCCTTTTCTTTAAAAAGACTGTTTACATTAAAATGCCTAGAGGGACTGACTTCACACCAGAACAACTACATCAAGCTGTAGTTGTTCTGGTGACTAATGTCCCTTTAATTTTAGGTTACACCAGGGCTTGACAAATCCAGAGTAGTAAATCACACCATGGCGTGGTGGCCATTACTAGGGTAAGAAAAAAACTGAGCTGCATTAAACTCCAAGTGCTTTTGAAGCTTCTTTGAATGAAGTATGCATTGGCTACAAGTATAGAAGACACTAGCCTCCACTGTGCTTCTGGTAAATGGAGCAGACATCTGCCCTGGATGCAGATCAAATATATATTATGGGATTATATGACAATCAATAATGTACGGGCACCTTCATGAGGAAAACATTCTCAAAATGTTGGTTATGTTCAGCTTACCTGCATGGAGTTTCAAGGGTCTAGGTGCAGTTGGGGTCTTTAAAGTAGAGGTCTACTGTTTAATTGATATCCTAAGCAACAAAGCCACTACAGTGCTCTGTAGCAATCATGGTGCTAGTTGTCTCAAAGCAGCATCTGTTGACCTGGTATGCTGTTTACGAACAGTTTGACACACACCTAGTTGTCTGGCACCTGTAGTCCTTGAGTTGGTCTGATAAAGCAGAAGAATATGCTTCTGAGTTATCATATCAACTTTATATCACATTCTTTGTATGAGAACCAGTAGGTGACACAGTCAGCAAGTAAATACTGTAAAAAATGAAATAAAACAAAGAAAAAAACAATATAAAATGTCTCAGTAATAGCAACTAAAATGATAACTATGTATCATATATTTAAGTGGTTTTAGTATGTGTTGTATCACCCCAAAATGGCCAGTAGATGGTAGTAACGCCCTATTAATTTGTATGTGATACAGAATGAAATAAAGAGTATGGGTAAAGTAAACCTACAAGTGCAGAAGTCCCTCCTGATAGACTTCGTATTATGTACAAAGCAGCCATAAAAGACAAACTCAATTACAAAGAAATGACATTCGGAAAGTTGAATAGCATTCGACCATCGTTTGGTCCGAATTCGACCTTGTTTGGTTACAGCAGGGAATGTCATCTTTCATGTCAAAGCACGAGTTGGCATTTTCTATATGCCAAGAGTTGTTTTTATAAACGTTGGGATAACATTTATTGTAGGCTTTGAGTGGTTATTGGACATGTTAAGATAACATTTAATGTAGGCTTTGACCTTACACCAGGCCTAAGTCATAAACCTACTAGATAACCATCACCAGAGCTGGACATAGGGCATTGTAAAAGGTATTGGTGCATATGCTCTGACTTTGGGTTCTTCAAAGGACAACATAATTTAAGAAAATATGGAGTGGTCAATAAACTGCCAGGCCCCTCTGATCCACCCAGGGGTCTGCCCACTTAGAAACAAGTGGTTTAAGGTATATACTGAGGATGTTGGACTATCCAGTGAGAGTTTTTCTTTTTTCAACAACTACTTGGGAACCTGTAACATCTGAATCTTCCCACAAGAATTATATATAAGGGGTAAATATATGTAAGGATCTCTTGTGTTTTCTCCCATTTTATTTTATGGACTGTTTTGCAATTTATCTGTATTTCTGTGTGTCATTTATTTCTGTATTTTTGTACCCAGCACTGTGAATCTTTTTTGTCAGATTAAATGTTTACTTAATCAGCTTATGTCTTTGTGCTCTATGAGCTCACTCTTCTGAGGAAAGTTCAGGTAGACACCTTACCAAAAGGGTTAATCATATATGTCTGATCAGTAAAGTAAGGTTGTGATACTATAATTCTACTGTGTGTGGGGTAACCGAAGACGCCCGTATATAAAAGTCTTGGTGGTGGCAGTAAAGTGTGTACTAGGGTGTTCATGTAGAAGGGATTGCAGGAGTTAATTTAGTGGTTGCTGGGACTAACCATAAGTAACCAGGGGTCTGGTGTCATTAAACCTTTCACTTCCACACTCTCCCAACTGTCTCGGCTGGGCCAATAGCCCACGTACATGACAGTATCCTTCTTAATACATTCAAACAGTACCCAGTATTTCAGAACAAATTTAGTTCAAAACTTACTACTTCAAATGGTGAATAGTAGGCTTAACACGCAGTTAGGCTTCCTCAGTTACAATTGAATTACAATGATTCATCAATCCTCGCTCATTTTACAGATGGCAAATCATGTTTTGGTATAACTATGTAAAGTTATGATAGGATGTTTTCTATTTCTGGTTTTCAGTGATGGGGTGTGTCGATGGGGAGCATGGGGGGTTATTAGCAATGCTTAATTGTTGATCAATATGAGATTTTATTAGCAATCATTTATGCACTCAAATTTGAAGGAAGGTTAGTTTATCTTCAAATCCACTGTTGTTATGGCCTTTTTGAATGTTATGGTCTTTTTGAATGTTATATTTGCAATTCATGCAAGTTGTTGTAGAACAGGTGAAGGGAGGGGGTCAGATCTGGGTTTTCTATACAACCTATTTATAATGTATTACAATTCTACACTTAAAATATTTGGGAATGTAAGAAGCGTGGTTTATCATATTTACTAGATTCTCACTATTCTGATATCAGGAATTTCCTTACATAGAAAACTCTTCTGTTATTGACCAGGTAGATAACTTCTTTTTTTGGCAAGCGTTTAAGGCTTCTCTATGCCAGTTTAGGTACTATAATTATAATAGCATAGTTTAACTCAGTCACTCGGTCCCAACTGTATTTTTTTTCCCATCAATTTTTTCTAAAATTATTTTTCATATCAATAATGAACAAGGAGAAAAAAAAAAAAACAGAAAAAACCCCAAAACTTGCAGACCATAGACATAAATGCAGAATAGCTAAACAGGTAACATTCAGGATAGTGACAGGATGAGAGTGTGGAAACCGAACATTAATAACCATATGCAGAAGGGTGCTCATATCAGAACAACCACAGCTTAATGTAGTTGTTCTGGAATGTATAGTTCTGGTGTGTAGTTGTTCTTTAGTTTAGAAAAAATGCTCCTAAGAAGGCATATGATAGCTATATACAAATATATTTGAGGCCAATACAAACCATTGTCTGGAAATCTATTCATAATCAGGGCATTGGGTCACACATTAAGACTGGAAGAAAGGAGATTTGGTCTAAGGAAAGGTTTATTTTTTTACAGCAAGAACAATAAGGATGTGGAATTCTCTGTCTGAAGAGGCGTTTTATCAAAGTCTATACAGATGTCTAAACAGAAATTGGATAAGTATTTGCAAATTGTAATATTCAGGAATCTAATTTTTAAATTGTGGGGTAATAGCTTCTTGATCCAAGGAAAGATATGAATGCCAATTTTAAAGCCAGGAAGGATGTTTTTAACCAATTTGTTGCAAAATTGGAATCACTTAAAAATAAAATAAAAAAAAATTAAAAAAATTGGATCAACAGCAAAACCAGATGTGAGAAAGGTTGACCTTATGGACAAACATCTCTTTTAAACTATGTAACTAGATTAAGCAAGTGGTATGTGGTGATAAAAATGTTAAAGACTCATGGGTAGAGATCTGCTCAGGGCAAAAGAAGATAAATCGATTATTGGTTGAATTATAGGTTATAAGCCACCTAATATTGATAATGAAGAAAAACATCAAATTGGGTAACATTTTAATTATTGCGGATTTTAATTAACTGGAGATTATATATATATATATTTTCTCCAGTTAATTAAAATCCGCAATATATATGATAGAGGGACTTTTGGGCGTGAATAGGTTATTTGGTTAAAAAAAAAAAAAAAAAGGACATGCAATACAAGTTACACAATTGGACATGCAGGTCCACAGGCAGGAAAGCAGTTTGCAATATTAACATAAGCTCACATATAATAATCATATGTTGCTAGTAGTCATATTGTAGGATTGTAGGCCTGGCTACCTTAGTAATAAATGCGGACCTAGTTATCAGGCCAGGTTATTAATCCAACCCCAACAATTACCAAGAAGTCTGGTATAAAACAGCGAGCACAAGGAGGAGGGATTTAAATAAACAGAGAAATTGTGTTAAACCCTTCCATCATATTTTAAAAGGCAATAGTTGCACTGATATGGGGGGACATGTTGTCCCAGAACAGTGGGACCAATTGCTTGGATACATTAATAATCCGAATGGTAAGGGACATTTTATAGCTGGAGGTAGCTGTGGTCGTGTGATGTAACAATATGGGTGCTGGCCTAAAAAGAGAGGGGGCGCATAGATCCAAGAAGCTCTTTAGTATGTTATGTATTTTCTACCAGAACGGCTGGATCAGGAGACATGCCCTCATCCCGGAAACATTGCCTACAGTATTCATCATTAGTGGAACTGGAATCTATCATATCTAGAAACTTAGGAGTGTGATACCAGCAAGATAGCAATTTATATGCTGTCTCCTGCATATTACTGGAGATTAAGCAGTGTGCGTAAGGTCACAAATTTTTCCCCCCCCGCTGGGACTCCAAAAAGACTTCTCCAAAGAAGGTTTCCAAATTAATCATGAAGGCCGGTGGTGTGTTAGCCACGTTGGTTTACAGTAGAGGTAGGAGATCCCATGCGCTAAAGGATATTAAATCCTTCCTAAGTAAATGTACCTGTGGTATGTTTTCCACATAACTGTGTGTGTGTGTGTAAAATATATATATATATATATACATATATATACATACACACACACACACACACACATATCAGAAAATTTGCAAGAAGTGCAACGTTCTCTTAAGTCCCCTGCCGGAATTGTATAAGCAATCATACCTAGGGACTTATTTTTCTTGAAAATTCTTTATTTTTGCTCCACTCACAAGCGTGGGTGGGCAAGTGCATAAAGTTTGAGACATACAATACTGCAAAAGCATATAATTGCATAAACAAGGTTTAACATTTGTAATGTCCTATATAAGGGGCCTGTGAGTAGAGGATTTTTTTTTTTTTATAGGTGGACTAGTACGGACATCTGTGACTACGCCCTTATAACCGGCCTTTTGTTGGGCTACTGTTGGTTATTTCTAGTGGGGACAGTGTGGGGTCTGTTAATGCTATGAAAGTATAGCCATTTAACCATTTGGGTCTGTTGGAATGTCTAGTCGGCATCGCTACATGAAGGTGCCGGTTGTCTGGCTTAGATACAGCACGACTAAGAGGGAAGGCTCGGAGTAACCGGCCTTTGAAATTAGTCTAGTTACACCCCCTGGTTCCACTTGGCTGATTACTATTATTATTATTTTATTATTTATATAGCACCAACAAATTCCGTAGCGCTGTACAACGGGTGGAGTAAGACACATAATTGAGATCAGGAACAGAGGGGGTTGAGGACCCTGCTCGATCAGCTTACATGCTAGAGGGAGTGGGGTATAGTGACACAAAGGGTTAAAGTAGGGGAATTAAATAGTTTGTTACAGAAGGGTTTATTGAGTGATTGGTAGGTCATTTTTGACAGTTGCAGGAACGGAGTCATGGGGTGGGGGATGAGAAACCTGCTGACAGTTTAATTGATACGCTTTAATGAAGAAGAGAGTTTTCAAAGATTTTTTGAAGGAGTGGAGGCTGGGTGAAAGTCTGATTAAGGAGGGAAGGGAGTTCCACAGAATAGGTGCAGCCCTGGAGAAGTCTTGAAGGCGAGCATCAGAGGTGGGGATCAGGGCAAAGGATAGGCGTAGGTCTTGGGCTGAGCGCAGGGGTCTCGACGGGACATACTTGTGTATGAGGGAGGATAGATATGTTGGAGCAGCATTATGTAGGGATTTGTAAGCAAGCGCCAGAATTTTGCATTGGGCCCTATATCTAACTGGAAGCCAATGCAGGGACTGACAGAGCGTGGAGGCGTGGGAGGTGCCACCGGACAGGAAAATAAGCCTTGCAGCCGCATTCATTATAGATTGCAGCGGTGCAAGCTGGGTACATGTAAGACCGGTGAGAAGGGGATTGCAATAGTCAAGGCGAGAGAGAACAACAGCATGAACCTTAGCCGCGTCCGGCGTTAGATATGGGCGGATGCGCACTATGTTCTTGAGTTGGAAGCGACAGGATTTGGCTATCGATTGGACATGGGGAGTAAAAGAGAGATCAGAATCAAAAAGAATCCCTAGGCAGCGAGCCTGGGAGGTAGAGGTGATAGTAGCGCTGTTGACTTGGATGGAGACAGACACAGGAGTAGCAGCATTTGAGGGAGGAAAATCTAGAAGTTCTGTTTTGGACAGGTTGAGTTTAAGGAAGTGAGCTGCCATCCAGTTGGAAATAGCAGAGAGGCAGTCAGAAACACGAGTCAAGGTGGGCGGAGAGAGATCAGGGGAGGACAGGTAGATTTGCGTGTCATCTGCATTCTAGATGGTATTGGAAGCCAAAGGAGCTATTGAGTTTACCAAGGGAGGCAGTATATAGATAGAGAACAGTAGTGGGTCGAGGACAGAACCTTAGGGGACGCCGACATAGAGGGGTTGGGGAGTAGAGGCAGAGCCAGAGAAACGAAACACTGAAAGAGCACTGTGAGAGGTAGGAGGAGCACCAGGAGAGAGCAGTATCCCGTAGACCAAAGTTACGGAGAATGTGAAGAAGCTGTTGATGATCAACAGTGTCAAAGGCGGCAGAAAGATCAACGAGGATTAGGATAGAGTATTGGCCGCGTGATTTAGTAGCAATTAAATCGTTGGATACTTTGGTCAAAGCAGTTTCGACAGAGTGACCAGCGCGGAATCCAGACTGAAGGGGGTCAAGCAGAGAGTTGGATTCGAGAAAGTCTGTCAATCTGGCGTAGACAACTCTCTCTCGAGGATCTTGGAGGCAAATGGCAGTAGCGAGATAGGGCGGTAGTTGGATGGGGAATTGGGATCAAGGTTCGGCTTTTTCAGAATTGGGGTTACGGTTGCATGTTTGAAGGCAGAGGGAAATGTGCCAGAGGAAAGGGAGAGATTGAAAATGTTAGTGAGAGGAAGAGCAAGAGAGGGAGACAAAGTGCGGATGAGATGCGAGGGAATAGGATCGAGGGAGCAGGTGGTGGGGCAGGAGGACAGGAGCAGAGCAGAAACCTCTTGTGCTGTAGCAGGTGCAAATGAGCATAGGATGGCAGGAGACTTTCTCTAGCAGCGTTCAGCAGTTCTGGAACATTTTTGGAGGTAACGGGTCAGCTTGGTGTGTGCCAGGGTTGTAGTTGGGGGCACTTGCTGCGTTTAACTGTAGGAGGTGCCATGATGTCAAGAGGAGAGAGTGGAGTTGTAGAGTTAGGGCAGTTGTGATTTGAGATGGGTAAAAGGAGTGTTTGGAGTTTGGTGGAGAAGTGCTGGAGATCGAGGGAGTTGAGGTTTCTGCGAGGTTGGAGAGTTGATAGTGGTGAAATTTTGGTATGGGGTATGCAGATGTTAAATGTTAGCAGATGGTGGTCAGACAAAGGAAATGGAACAGTGGCAAGATCAGAGGTGGTACAGAGATTGGTGAAGATGAGGTCAAGAGTGCTGTCCTGCAGTGTGAGTTGCTGAGGAAGAAATCTGTGTGAGTCCAAAGGAGGAGGTTACAGAGAGCAGACGAGAGGCATCAGGGCAGTTGAGCTTGTTGATAGGGATATTGAAGTCCCCAAGTATGAGAGAGGGAGTGCTAGAGGAAAGAAAGTGGGGTAACCAGGAGGAAAAGTGTTCAATAAATAGTTTAGGGTGACTGGGGGGGCGATAGATGATGGCAATTCTTAAAGGAGTGGGCTTAAAAAGGCGTACAGTGTGAACTTCAAAGGAAGTAAAGGATAGGGCAGGGGCAGGGAGGATAGGTTGAAAGGTACATTGAGGGGAGAGAAGGATACCTACACCACCTCCTTTACAGTCGAGTCTAGGAGTATGGGAGAACTGTAGACCACCGAAACATAAAGAAGCAGGAGTAGCGGTATCGGATGGGGACAGCAGGGTCTCAGTGAGTGCCAGTATTGTGAGTGAGTTAGAGATGATGAGGGCATGTATAGCTGTAAATTTGATATTAATACAAATGGAGCAAGCATTCCAGAGTGCACACTGAATTTTGGTAGGGGAGGATAAACTGCAGGGTATTTGGAAGAGGTTTGCATGGTTTCTGGTTATTTTAGTGTGAGCAGATGAGGTGAGGTGCCCTGGGTTGGGAGAGACGTCACCAGCTGCAAGAAGTAGGAGGAGAGAGAGAGACTGGAGGTGTGAAAGGGTTTTATATGGGCGGCAACTAGGGTGAGATTGGGTTAGAGCAGGAGAGAGAGAGTAGAGAAATGAGAGAAGGGGGGAGGGGAGTGTAGCAGAGAGGGATTAATGTAAATGTGAGTGTGTTGTTGAGGGAAGTGGGTGGAAGGGGAATATTTTGATCCTGAGGGAGATGAGAGAGAAGGAGAAGAGGAGAATATAGAGCATTGCTCTGATGGGTAGGTAATTAGAGGAAAGGAGAATGAGCAGAAGTATGGAGAAGGACTGAGTGTTAGGAGTTAAGAAGGTGGATTGTGCTCATTACGGGTAGTGTTTGCAGCTGCTATTTGGAATTATCTAAAGTTGTGTGTGGGATTCTATCTATAAATGTAGTAAGGAACTTGGGGTGGGGTGGGGGGGAATCTGAGCACTGTTCAGGTTTGCTGGAAGTCGTCTTTTAAAACTCAGACATGCATAAGGCATGGCTGATTAAGGTTTGTTTGTGGGTAATGAGGTGGTGTGAGTGTAGGGGGTGGGAGCATCTGGCTGTGGGCCACGGTACCTACGGGCAGCTTGGTCATTGCTAATGAGATGAAATTATATATAAAAAACAAAAACAAAACTTCAAACAAAGAAAAATCTACTTCGAACCGCATTTAACATCAGTCCTGGGTAGGAGAGAAATTTGTATCAGGCACCAGTCATTTCATCTCAGTTGGTGACTGTGGCATAGGCATTTGACTGTGCACTCTGCGGCATAAACGGCCTGACTTGTGTCGGGTCCCAGCTGTGTGTAACCGGATTTGTTCCTCTGGTTCCCGGTTGAGTCCCAGCTGACTCAGTAGAGCATTCACACTTGTAGTGCTCTTGGAGATCGCCACTTGTATTGGATGTTGTGGCTTCTTAGAAGGGCAGTGACTGGCTGCATGTGCCTCCTCCACTGTAAGGTGTCCCCCTCGAGAGGTCAGCGTGAAACTATAGGGATGTGTTCTCAAAAGAATAGGGCACCTTCCCCTTGAGGGTAGCGAGCACTACTTGTTTGTTGACGTTGTTGTAAAATTTGCGGGGCCGTGCCAGGTGCTCAAGGTTTTGGGACTCTGAATATCCAGTCAAAGGTTAGCTTGCCTTGGGGCCAACAGTGTTCCTATTAGTCGCTTTATGAAGTGCAGAAGCTCTGCTGTGGGAACCTCCTCTGGTACCCCTCTGACCTTGAGGTTGTTCAAGGTCTTCAAGCATGGCAAACCGCTGGTCTGATAGAGCTTGTGGTTTCTTCAGAGTTTGGCTTTCCAGCTGGAGGTCTACGATGGTTTGCGTGTGGTGAGTCACAGAGTTTTCCACCCCTCCTAGGCGGCCGACCATGTCCATGAGGTCACTGCGCAGCACGGCAGTGTCTGCCTGCAGGGTTTATGGATGCTGCCCAGCACCTCAGTGAGCATTGCTGCTGTCACCGGTTCGTTTTCTCTGGGTGGTTTGTGTGCAGGAGGCGGAACTTCTTTTCAGGAGCCGGATGCTTGCATGCTGGGGAAGGTTTGCGGCCGAAATTAGTGTAAATTTTGAAGGGAGACTGACAGGTCTCCCTCCAGCAGCCTAATTGCGGCTGCCGGCAGCCCTAAGCTTCTCCCTCTTTACTCCCCTCGGTCTGATACAGGCTGGTACAGTTCAAGGGGAAAATACTTAAATTATAGTGGCGTGATAATTAATTTGGTGTTATTTTATGTTTTAAAGTTAATTAATGTTCAGGTCACATGATCAGTGACATCATCTGACAGTTTTTTTTTTATTTTTTTATTTCTTAGGTATTTAAGAGTGAAGGTCCCCTACTCTGTAACACTTTGAAAAAGCCTTCTGTGTAGGTGAAACGCATTAGTGTGTTACTTATTTTTTATTTGTTTAATAAAAATCTGCATTTGCACCCCTGGACCTTCACTGGACATCTTTTATTGGAGAAGCTGTATCTCACATTCCCGGGTGGGGGACAAACCACCTATGCTGTAAAGGACCGAGCAATCCCTATTTGTTCATCCATTGTGAGTATCTCTCTCTCTTTATTTTATTTGTTTTATTAATACAGAGAACACTATTCCTGTTCTTTTATATCCTATATACATCACTGGAGCATCATCTCGAATACACCACATGGATTATTGGCACAGGGATACGATACCAGAGATAATCAGGACCATCCTAACATCCACAGACGGGGATTGTACCGTCCATACGCTGTGATCTGGAGCTCCAGAAAAGTGTGAGTGCAATATATTTATTCCTTATATTCTGCCTCTGCTGTTATAGACATGCTACACTATATTAGTATTCCTGTCCCATTTTGTTTTCTCCCTTATATTGGCTCCATTGGACTCCACACAAGGATTTTAATTGTTAAGCGCTGCTTCCCTACACCCCCCGCTTTGCTTGAATCAATGACCAGAAAGAAGAGACTCTGGTTTGGGACAGCTTTAGCTGCTGTACACATAAGAAACAAGCGCCAGAAATCTCACTTGCTGCTACATCGTGATAATTAAGGCTGTCTGTCCAGCCCCAGGTGCTGCTGAAATCCGCTATTTTATTGTTTGTTTGTACGGAGCCCATCGAGTGTGCATCCGACTTGTTCAGTGGCTAAGCTCCCTACCTAGGGACTTTACTGATTGTCAAACTCTTTACTGAAAAAACACTGAGAATAAATGGAATATCTTCAAACAAATATTAGAAATGTACACTTCTCCGTGTATACCATTAGGTAACAAATATAAAAGAAACAAATTAACACCAATGTGGCTTAGTAGGAAGGTAAATTGCGGCTTGTGCCAGTGTCCTGCTATCAGTTTATGAAATTCTGTAGCCTGATTCGATGCTGTGAGGTATAGTTTGAAATTTTTTTTCCTGAAAAGTAAAGCGTGATAATGCATCAGCAGCTCCACTAGGAGCCCCTAGAACATAACTATAAGTAATATAGAACTGATCTGTTGCCTGACCAAGTCAGTTTCCCAATAAACCTCAAATTAGTGAGGGATGGCTAATGTCCCTATTTAAAGAGGTTGCATGCCGCTTTATTATCAGACAAGCATCTAACTGGCCGACCTTCCCATAAATGAGCAGTAGCAGGCCTTTTTGTTTTTTGCCCTTGTGACGCTGGCTTCCATGTTGACTGAATTCCATCAAAAAACTAGGAGCTTCTGCTTAATCTTTGGATATTGGAACCCCTACAAGAAACGGAGCTGTAGTTGCTTCGATACTATGGGGAATCAACTTGTCCTTTTCGATTGTAAGGAAGGCATTCAGGTATGCGGCATTAACAGCCAAGTACAGGTTTTCTGAAAAGAGATCAAAACGTTTTGGAGTGCTCGTGGTCCCAAATGTGAGTCTGACAGTGAAATAGTACTGGTCCTGACACTTCACTCCATGCAGGCGCCAATATGAAAGTTAAATAAGTAATTTTCTGCACCCTTTTTCACTGGTACCAGGACATGGTGGTTTCTGACTGCAATTTCAGCCGGAATAGCTCCTGGGTCTAGTTGGAAATGGAATAGTACAACGCTGCAATTCTGCAGGAATATTAGGGATTTGGTAGCAAGAGAAGCTCTATGATTTGGACGTGGAGCAGTGAGGCCATTGAGAACTGTGGCGCGGTAATAGCCTCTCAGTGAAAACTAAAGGCTACAAGATAAGATGGCTGTGACTGATAAGGGATACCTGTGCCACTGAGCGAGGCTCTAGTTTGGATTGTGTCTATAGATTAAATACCTCCAAGTGGGAGAACGAGAGTTGGCCTCGTAGGACGGCTATCTAAGCAAAGAGACCTGGAATCCCCTATTAGGTGCCCTGGCTTCCAGAATACCCATCTCTGTGCTTATGCATCGATTTGTGAGGATCATGTGGTCGAACAGAGTTCAAAAATCGCAATTAAGAAATATTCATACGTAGAGATTACATATAAAATGTGTATTTGATGGAGTGTAGGTGAACAAGAGTCTGTGCGGGAGCATGTAAATGTATCAATCTAGGAATGTAATTACCTGGAACCATAGGCAAGACACTACTTCCTCTAGCAAGTGGCTCTACACATATAATATAGTTGTTGTGGAGAGCAGCCTAGGAGAGTTCTCCTGCTCTCCGAGTTTAAAAGGGGCAGTCTACGCACCATAACCACTTCAGTGGTCAAAGTAGAAATGCCATAAACACTGTCTCAGTTTTTTGTCAAACCCATTGACAAAAAAAACAAGGCTAGGTAATGTTGAATTTACACTTACCATTATCAATTTGTCAAACCTGGATGGCAATCACTGGCAGACAGTGGTGGAATTTAGCCCAGCTTTATCAACAAGTATGCATGAAACATTTAGCAGTTAGATGAATATTATTATACGGTATTAATTACCGTGTTCCCATATACTTATTTTGCAGACATCAGAAAAGTAAGCTGGAAGGAAATTGAATAGAGCATTTATTGAAAATCTTTGCATTACTGTTGACGAATGTAATTTAGTGCTGCAAGTTAAGACATGGATCTAATTTCATGAATTTGTACCAACCTTTTCTCCTTGGAGTGAAGGTACTGAGTCTCTTAGACTGTGGAAGCTGTCTTTGATATGATCTCTGCGCTTGCGCTCCAGTGCATTATGATGAGCTCTTTTATCTGCCTGTAATTAAAAGATAGAACAGCAAAAAAAAAAAAATGTAAATTAAAGTGCAACACATTTAAGTTCTCCTTTCATCATATATGTATATATGTATATATGTATGTATGTATGTATGTATGTATCTGCAAGAGCCAAGCACATTGATCTCTTATTGTATGTCCCCGGTCCGGCACTCAGGGATAGATAGAGATATATATATATATATATATATATATATATATATATATATATATCGAAATGAGGCACATAAATAAATCAACTAAATTCTATTTTAATTAATCCAAAGATGAATTTACAATCAACATTTCAGTCTCATACGGAGAAATTTATCAAGACATCAGCCACGTGAAAGATGACAGAAAGTGATATATATATTAGTTCATATACATGTTCTTAGGAACTGTCGAATATGTAATTTTGAAATTCAAGAACGGTAGAATTTTAAAGAATCCAGAAGTGCTGGCTCAATACATATATTTTTGCGACAGTAATAGACAAATCCGTTAGAGATGTAATTCTTCAGAAAGCAAATTTCTAGACAATTTTGGAAGGAAAGACCTTGACTCCCACAAACGTGTCTGCTTGACGTGCTTCCCACTAAATTCAGTAAACTGGATAAACATTTGTTTTTACTAATTTTGGTTGCACCCAAAACGAACATAGCCAAACACTGGAAATAAACAGGGACTACACACTCACTGAATCTTTGCAAGTTATATGCAATTACAAAGAGATGCCTCTAAGGAAGATCATGGGGCTCAATGATCCCCATCATTGGATCTCTATCATCTCTACCCTCCCTTGACCTTATTTCTTTATCAGCCAAACCTGCCATTGGTCTGGCAGCATTTAGTGGATCCTGAATAACAAAGTTTTCCTTGGATGTATAAAGATTCAAAATTCAGATTCCATCGACTTTAAATTTATTTAAAAATATTTAAGTCCAGCATCGTTCTCTTCTCATTTACAGGTTACAACTCCCCTGGTAATAAGGGGTTATTCCCCCTAAGCGTGGATGTGGTGTGCATGCTCTGGTTTGGCTCACTCTCTCCAGAAAGCGGGAAGGAGGCAAAATACAGCGCGCGCGCGCGCGCACACACACACACACACACTTTTAAATGTTGGCCAATTGGGGTTAAAATCCATGGTGGTTCAGTGTGGGAGAGTCTGGTCTGCACTCTGCACCTTTGGCCGGTGCAAGCCACAGTAATTTCTACCTTACAAATTAATTAGTTTGACAATTAATCAATTTTTGTCTGAAACAAAGCCTTTTAATTTGTTCCTATTGGAAATTGTTTCGAGACTGGGATTTAGAATTCTCAGTCGTTTGCCTGAATCATTTGATTTGTTGTCAAACAAATGCACAATGAATGCACATGTTTAGCAGTTGCCTAGTGCTTACTATGGTCTGCACCCACGACATGTGCAGACCACAAGTTACCTGCAACAGAGCTTAAACCTAAGGAAAAAAACAAACAAACAAAAAAAAAAAAATCATCTGCCTGTCTAGAACTGCATGTCCTGGGCATCAAGCAATAGGAAAAACTGATCTAGATCATACAATATCCCATTGATTTTTAATTTAGACAGACCAAAGGGCTGGACAAGTTATTTATAAAATAATTTTTTTTTTTTATAATCCAATAATCACAAATTAATGTTTTTCTTGAGTTTTACATTGGCCAAACCAACATTTTGTAATGGTCTTATATAAGGATGTGAAATTCTCTGCCTCAAGAGATGATTTTATCGGACTCTGTACAGATGTTTAAACAGTAATTGGATGAATACTTGCAAAAAATAATAATTTTCAAAGATATACATTTTAACACGTGAGGTACCAGCTTCTTGATCCAAGGAGAAATTTGACGGCTGTTCTGGGGTGGAAAAGGATTTTATTTTCTCATTTGTTGGAAAATTGGAAGGCACTTCACACTAGCTTTTTTGGCCTTCTTTTGGATCAACAGCAAACCAGGTGCAACAAAGTCTGAACGTGAGGTTACATCTGTATGTATGCATGTAACCAATCTATATCAGACACGCTACTAAAATTGTTTACTTTAGGCTTCTTACACTTGCCCAGCCTTAGCTGACATGACTTGCAAAAACAGCAATAAACCTTGGTTTCACTTTCAATTAATTCAAGCCAGTTTCATTTTTAATCAGCAAACGTCTGAAAGCCAACTCTTTCCACAAACTCTCACGTTCTGTCGTACCTCCTCAGACCTACACTGTCTTCCAACCCTGTTCGAGTATCTATGCATGTTGAAGCGATGTAGATTTATCCAACCATTCAGTAACAGGATTATTAGAGTGATACACAAGATATGTGGAGTGCTCCAGAGCGTCTCACCCAAACTCTAACCCTAGTACAACAAACGTTAATGCTCCTCTCCGAGTAAAAATCGGTCTCAAACATCTCCTAGATTCCCTGATCCCGAGACATTGTGGCACTCAAACTTAATTTCAGGGGCTGGTCGAAGTAGTCTTCACACTAATATTATGGAAAGTCCTGTGGGATTCAATGAAGCGCAAAAGGAGAGCGAGTATCGCTAGCCACCAGCTAGTTTACTTGGACCTTTTCCTGAAGCCCCTACAATCTTCCAGCATCAGGAGTTGGGTTAAACATTAATAACGCAGTGGGGTGGGTAATTAATGGGGCACTGAGCTTCAGCCACATTTCTGGTATATAGCCTGGTTCAGGTTAAGGTATCACCTTATGAGGTAGTCACTATAATCCTAAATCAAAGCATGAAATTAACTTGCTGGGGGAGTGTATGTAATGGAAAGCAGAACCCGATGCTCTTCCTGGTTACTCAATATATGTATCCTGTCATGAAGATGAGACTTGAACACTCAGTTGTTACCTAAGCTACTAGGTTCAGAGAGACTTATGAAGTCAAGTACAGCTGGCAACTACAGAAGGTGAATATTTTATTCAGATGGGCATTATACTGAGAAGGAGTAACGGAGCAACATCACATAGAAGAAGTGTGTGTGGAAGATACCAATTACAGGTAGAGCAATCCACGACTCTACAAAGACCCAAATACTTACCTTTGGTCATCTGTAGAACTGGCTTCCGCAGCATGAAAGTCCACCCTTTTTAACCTTACTTCCTTGTTTGTCCTGACCACTGTCCAGGAACTACACCCATTCCAAAGCCTCTCATAAAGAAGATGTAGGGATTTGTATAAAATAAAAAAACACATCATACTTTAGAGATGCATTAGTTCAAGTGCCTTTTTAAATATATATTATTTTATACATCTATTAAAATGGTAACTTGATATATGTGTCAGGATAATTGATCCAGCATGCAGAACAGTATCACACCTAGGACTAAGGATAACGTTTAACCAGACCTTAGAATGGCCAGATTTAATGTACCGGAGAATAGTAAAAAATACTTTCCGAGGTCAGGGACAGCGGATGAAAGCCAGAAGTCAAGAATACCAGAAATCAGGGAAGTCAAAATAAAGCCAAAGCCACCTGAGAGTTGTTAGCCAATGAGTGTGGCTTTGCATCGCCCGGCTTGGCTAAGTGGTAGAGATTCTGGCTGCAGTGGAGGAAGCAGAAGGCACCCGGCAGACCTCAGATGCCAAACTATACTTTAAAGAACACTACATTAATAATACAAATATCTATTCCTAACGATACAGTGTCCCTCTCCCAGTTTCCCATGAAAATTAGAAAAGAAAAGAAAAAAGCGCTGAGGCGCTGTCTCCTGTGACCTTGTGGTCCAATCCAGTTCTCTTCACAAGAGAGCACTGGTGACCCACACCTGTGAAGGTGTGGTCCAATGCAATGCTCCTCATAGGTGAGCCATGGTGACCTAATGCACATTCGCAGCAATGCCGCATGCATTAAAACTTTTCCACAGGAAAAATTAAATGTAAACACTGCAATTTATGAAATGGAAACACTGCAAGTTATTGAAACCTGCCCGATTTGCCCCAATTAAATCAATACTGATGACTAGTGTCAAATCAGACAATTCTTCTCGCAGAGATCCGCCAACAATGCTTCTCACGTGCAAGTCACTCACTTCCACTTTCAACTACAGTTCAAGCATGAGAAGCAGGATATATTCCAGTGTTGCTAAGGGAATTTGTCTGATTCATTATATAAAATAAGCCAGAAAAGTAATGACACTGTAGTGTCCCTTTACACAACTTTCCAGTGACAATCTTCTTAGTCACAACAGCAGACTCATTAAGAGGTTGATGTAACAATGAGTGCATGACGTGCCTGCATTCCATTCCTCATTAAATCAGTTTACTTGCAGGGAGGTGCAGTAATAACAGGGTTGGTACAAAAACGGGGCAAACTGAAAAATTGCAAAAATATATGCATCACTAGCCAAACGAGTTATATATTTTGGAAACAAGAAGGATGATACCATAATGAATTCATAATGCACCAAACGCAAAGCTGTAATTACAAAACCAGGAACATTTGCACAACAATCTTTTATATATGTTAAGCCAACCAGACCAACGTTATGACCAAAGCAACATCAGGCAGGCATACAACAATTTAAAGTGGAGCAATCATAACATTTTATTTTTTTAAATTTGCATCCAACAGATAACTAGTTCTATAATAATATTTGTAAACAAATAGTAAAGGTCCTCAAAACTCAGCCAACAAAATGAATGGGCAACATTTCGACGCGTATGTTTTTTTCATAAGCTATATATTATATTTGTGCTCTGGTTTATTTATTTATTTTTTTATTCTGCATAGGTGCCCAAGTCATCCTGGGAGAGCCAGAACATATCAAACTACTTTAATCCCAAAGGCACTATGCGTATGTTGAGGCACACCCCAATACACCCACTACATGAGCATGGTCCCCCTCTCTGTTGTGATGGAGAATTCCCAGTGGGTTCGCCACCGCTGCCAGTAAAGGATTGGTGGGAAAGCGAGAGGAGTGACAACAGCAAGCTGCTCCTCTGAATAATTTAGGCAGCTAAAAGGCCGCCAGGACACAAATTGACGTCATATCTCGGCAGTCATTCTGGGACATGGAGAACAGGCTAGGGGCATGGATGATAGGTATCAGCAGATGTTTCCCAGCACAGTGAAGCTTCCAGGCAGAATCGGGTAAGGAACAACTTAATGAGAGAGTTGTGTGCGTCTCAGTATGTTTGAATGGGTCACTGTGCGTCTCAGTACGTTTGTAAGGGTCACTGTGCGTCTGTTTGTAGGGGCCAGTGTCAGTGAGTGTACCTATAAATTTTGTTACCAATTTTAATGTGCACTCAACAAACATCACTCACAGCTACCCACATCACACACAAACTGTCACCTTACAAACATATACATCATACAATGCTACCACAATTACAGTTACTACATAACACACAATCTTTAAACACACAAGATAAACTCATACCTACATTTTAGGACAGCAGCCATAGACATGCACGTTGGGTCAGACAGTGTTTTAAAAAAAAAAAACTGTCAGTCTCTATAATCTTCCCCGTTTCTGTGCAGGGAGTGAAGCAGGTAAGACCACAGAGATGAACTGCCAGTTTGCAAACACCCAAGGTGAATATGCTATGCAATTTTGGGCACCTGTTCTAAAGAAGGATATCATGGTACTAGAAAAAGTGCAGAGACGAGCTACAAATTTGATAAAAGGAATGGAGCATTTTAGTTACAAAGAAAGGTTAAAAAAATTAAATCTCTTCAGTTTGGAGAAATGGCGCCTCAGAGGGTATATGATAACATTATACAAATATATTCGGAGACAGTACAAACCATTATCTGAAAATCTATTCATAAACAGGGCTCACACATTTAGGCTGGAAGAAAGGAGATTTCATCTAAGGCAAAGAAATGTTTTTTTTTTTTTTTTTACAGTAAGAGCAATAAGGATATAGGTCCATACAGATTTTTAAACTGCAATTGGATAAATACTTGCAGAACCATAACATACAGGGACATCATTTCTAATTAGTGGGGTAATAGCTGCTTGATCCAAGGAGATATCTGACTGCTATTTTGGGGTCAAGAAGGAATTTTTTCTAGTTTGTTGCAAAATTCAAAGCATTTCAGATTGGATTTTTTGCCTTCTTTTGGATCAACAGCAAAAACATATACGAGGAAGGCTGAACTTGACAGACGCAGGTCTCTTTTCAGCTATGTAACTATGTAAGGTGCATGCATATGGCGGAAAAATCCGGTCATTTTATTTATTTATTTTCACATACTGCATTTGAAAAAAACAAATTTATTTGCAAAACGTGCTAAATTAAAACAGCATTAGGAACACAAACCTGTATTTTTAATGCTATAGTACCCTAGTCTATAATTAGTTCAGAGGTGCACCCCCAACACCAATAAAGATATATAAATGGGTGTTACTTTTTCTCCAGCGAAAAAACTCCCTTGATGCTTCTGGCCACTCTGCAATGTAATTTGGCAAGTGTCGTTCTCAATCTAATTGTCAAAGCCAATGCCATGCCCACATCCAAATGCTTCTCATAAGAAAACATTGAATTCAATGCTTTCCTATGAGCTGCAGTTTGTCAGATGACCGGGTTTACTCGGTAGATCGGGAGGAGCCTCTAGGTGTGTTTGGCCCTGCAAGGTTTTACAATGCGGTGACAAAATGGCATGACCACTGTACCCAGACCACCTACTGTTCTGGGTTAACTTAGTGGTTCTTTAATGGGGCCTTGCTGCTCATTAGCCATCCAAAACTGAATAGTAATGTCAAGCTACGAGCACTGCTGGTATCCTAATCCAGCAATCACAGTTTATTACTGCTATCTATATTTGGACAGAAAGAAAGGAAACTAAAGAATGCAATGCTAGTAAACTAAACAGTGGTTAAGCAATTTTTTTGTGTGTGTTTTAAAGGGACACTATAGGCACCCAGACAGCTTCAGCTCATTGAAATGGTCTGGGTGCATTAATTACCTTTGAGGGTTAACTCCACCTGTAGTGGATGTCTACCAGACAGCCACTACAGGGACTTGGGGAACTTTTGGTCACCCGATGTTGGATGTCCTCACGCTATAAAATGCTTTCCTATGGGAAAGGCCATTGCCGCGCATGAACATTATGTCTCCCCCACCGGCTAAGGGACATACGTGCTGGAATCAGGTAAGTTACAGATGGGTTTTTTTTTTATAGGCCCTACCAATATTGTTAGCAACAAACAGACGTGGGCAATCATTTGATCCATATAATGCAATGATAAACTTGTGATTTTAAAATGGATGAGCATGGGGTGTTACAGACCATGACTATATTCAACACAAGCTTCTATGTCACCTAAGAGTACTAGTAGAGAAGTCTGGAGCATCCCAGGTTACTTTATCACTCATCAAAGAGAAAAATGGTGAGTTATGAACAATTATAGGAGGGGGAGTGAGAAGATGCACCGATGTTTGTATCTATTTATTAAAACTGATTAAGATGGGTGAAAAGCAGGCAGACTGCATCTATAGATGATAAGATGGCAAACTGGCAGTGATCACGGTACCAATTAGAGCTCTGCAATCAATTCAACCCCTTAAGTCATAGCAATGCAATGAATGCACAGATATGTCCTAGACATAAAGTTCAAAATAGCAATTGCAGTCCATAACTATAAACAAAGACATGGGCACAAAAGCCATACACGTAAGGAAAAGCTACAATTTTTCCTCGGATCTAAATATATGTACAAAGCAGTTCTTAAATCAGATGTCAGACATTGATGAAACGTGGGTCAACTGCAGGACCCACCAATAGTATGCGCACCTGGAATTAGCAATGTTTTTAACATAACTTTCCAAGATTAAAGGATCACTATAGGGTCAGGAACATAAACATGTATTCCTGACCATAAAACCACCACCATCTAGCCCCCCTGGGCCCATCATGCCTCCATAAATATAGCAAAATCTTACTGTATTCAAGCCTGAAGCTGTATATATGCATGCTGTTTGCCTCAGAAAAACAAGCTGTCTGCTGACATCATCAGAAGTGGTAGCCTGATCCAATCACAATGCTTCCCCATTGGATTGGCTGAGACTGACAAAGAGGCAGATCAGGGGCAGAGCCAGCACGATTCAAACACAGCACTGGCCAATCAGCATCTCCTCATAGAGATGAATTGAATCAATGAATCTCTATGAGGAAAGTTCAGTGTCTGCATGCAGAGGGTGGAGACACTGACTGTTTGGGTGCATTTTAGGCAGCCATGACCCAGGAAGGATCTCGAACAGCCATCTGAGGAGTGGCCAGTGAAGTTCTCTCTGAAAAAACATCATAACCCAGTTCAGACAAAGCAAATACTTTACAGGGCAATAATTTCAAATGAAGAGGAGAAATAGAAACAATGTTTAATTTCATTCTCTGTATATTTTTTTCTATGCTCATTGCCAGCTGCAAAGGACAAGCTTGTAACAATGACAGACAGGGAACCAAAAAGGAGGAGCCCAGTTGCAGGATGTAGATTTCTACATGTACTATTAATGGGACAACGGTCACCTCAAAATTATTTAATATAATTTAAAGTATATGTAATAATAATTTAAAAAAATAACACGGGTAAACACACATTTAGTATACGACATGATCCTACAGCCATATACATGTACTTTTAGTAGGACGGTGTTTGAAAACCGACAGTCTATGGTTTTCCCTTGTTCTGTGTAGGGAGTGAATCATAGAGACACATAAATTGTATACATATACACAGACACAACAAAAGGCAAACCCTTTGTAAAACTGTATAATTGCACTAGGGATCGACCGATATTGAATATTTAGGGCCGATACCGATAATCTGTGAACTTTCAGGCCGGTAGTTTACCAATACTCTGTACATGTACTGTTTTTTAAAAAATAAACTATTTCTACACAAATCTACTGTTAACTGAACATGTTTATTGTTTGTTTATTTTTTGCAAGGCTTTTTTTTAAATCAATGTAAAAGCACAAAATATGCATGCCAGTCAGAATTTTTTATGTTTTAAACAATATGTGTGTGTGTAGTGGATGCAGTGAGAGTATTTGATTAGTGAATGCAGTGTGTGTGTGTATGTTTGTGTAGTGTATGCAGTGTGTTTGTGTAGTGTGTATATAATGAATTCAGTGTGTTTGTGTGGTGTATGTCATGTTTGTGTAGTGTGTGTATATAATGAATGCAGAGTGTGTGTGTGTGTAGGTATGTAATGTGTTTAAAATGGGGGGGGGTGAGAGGAGGCATTTTAATTTTGTAAAAAAAAAAAAAAATTGGTTTTAGTCCCCCTCCCTGCTTCCCAGAGACGGGGGATATGGCATTCCCTGGGGGGCGTGCAGCGGTCCTGGGGGGCCCAGCACACTTAGACTTACATTCCCAGCAGCTCCCCTGTCTAACTCTTGCAGCCTGCGTGCCACGCTGAACATTGCCATGGTAAAACGTGGCAACGCTCTGACGGCCGCGGGACTCGCGAGAGTTAGACAGGGGAGCTGAAGTGAGCAGCTGGGAAGGTAAGTACGAGCATGCTGGGCCCCCCAGGATCCTTATGGCGGTCCTGGTCTGCATTATTGGCATCTTTATTGGCCGATACCGATATTGCTGAAAATACAGAATATCTGCCGATCCACAATTGCACACCATATCAAAATATGGCTAATTTTCCTACTTCATCCTCAACACGTCAAACATTTGGAGCAATTTTCCTTTTAGATAAAATTTTTATGACAATCTTGCTGTCTTGGTTACAAAGTCAACAGTACGACACAACAATATAGTAACAGCCTCAAAGATCAACTGGTGTAGAAAAGTCCCATAGCTTCCAGGAAGTATACACAGAATTTACTATTTTGCCTTTTTTTCCATCCAGGTTTAGGATTTAACTCTTTTTAACCCCTTAAGGACTGGACTGTTTTTGTGGTGTTTGTGTTTAGCTGTAATTTTCTTCTCTCTCATTTACTGTTCCCATACAAATTCTATATTTTTTTCAGGACAAGAAGGGCTTTCTTTACATCCCATTATTTGTATCATGTCATATAATTTACATTAAAAATAAATAAAATATGGTGAAAAAAAAACCAAACAAAACAAAAAACTTTATTTTTTTTTACTTTTACTTATCTACAAAAGCTAATGAAAAAAACCTGCTAAATAGATTCAAAATGTTGTCCTGAGTTTAAAAACACCAAGTGATTACATGCTTTTTTGCAAGTTATAGGAGTAGAAGTACAAGTAGGAGATTGCGGTTTCAAAAAAAAAAAAAAGTATATATATATATATATATATATATATATATATATATAAATTAAACAAAAATCTGCACACCAGTCAAGCAATAAGACTTGCTTTTCCCACAGTTACTGCAAACACAGATTAAAAGGAATCCATGTTTAAAATGGAATGAGGCAAAAATGTGATTCTTTGTTAAACTAATTTGCATATGCCCACCCAGAATCCTTTGCGGTTGTAACATCACTGCAGATTTGGGATTTCTGTGGGAAAAGCAAGTCTTATGGCTTGACTGGTGTGCAGATTTTTGTTTAACATTGTATTAACTATCCACAGACCTGAAGGTGGAAGGGGTTTTCAATCACAATTTTTCCCCACCATAACCTGTTTGGATTTTGAGAGTATATACATACATACATACATACATACATACATACATACATCACTATATAAGGAGCACTCACAGGTCTTCATCTGAATACTGATTTATTCTAAGGTGCAAATTACATGTGCAATCGACGTTTCAACCCTCACAGGGTCTTCCTGTGAGGGTCGAAACGTCGATTGCACATGTAATTTGCACCTTAGAATAAATCAGTATTCAGATGAAGACCTGTGAGTGTTCCTTATATATTGATTTTTGTTATATCTAAACGCTGAGGATTGCACCCAGGCAGTAATGTACCATTTTTTTGAAAAATGAAGGGTGAGTGCCAAGAATTAATTATTTATTTATATATATATATATATATATTTATATATATATATATATATATATATATATATATACACACATATACACACACACACACACACACACACACACACACACACACACATATATATATTTAAATATATCAATAGTGACATTGTAACACTTATCAGTCATAAATCTCTGAATCACACACCATACGTACATTTTGCTTATTTATTTAAATGCAAAACTCAATTATGAACGCTAATTTTGGCCAGTGTTTGTGACTAAGTGGCTACTAAAAGACTGGACATACCCATTTGCGATACCTTAAAATATCCGTATATATGGAGAGACAAGGGGAGATTCGACAAACAGCCGATAGTGTAATATATAGTTTGACATTATGTACATGTATATACACACACACACACACACACACACACACACACACGGGAGCAACGCCGATCGCTGCCGGGGAAACGACGGCGATCGGGTGAGTAAATATTTCCAATATGACGGTTCAGGACCGTCACTGGTCCTCAAGGGGATTTTTCCAATGACGGTCCTGAACCGTCACTGGTCGTGAAGGGGTTAAAGGAACAATAATGTTATGTATACAAACATTCCTAATGTTAGAGTAGGAGTAGACAACCTTTAGCACGCCAGATGTTGTGGGCTACATCTCTCGATGCTTTTCCAGCATTATGGCCATAAAAGCATTATCGGAGATGTTGGCTGAAAAGAGACATACGTCCATCAAGTTCAGTATTAATAAGTTGAGTCCACAACATCAGAAGGGCCAAAGGTTGCATAACCCTGTGAGCACCCACTCATAATAAAATAAGACAGACTTACCGTTAGTCTTGCGGCGCACCAGTCTTGTTGCAGTTTGCAACATCTCCCCAGCTTAGATCATCCTTTTGGGTTAATCTCAGCCAATCCAGAATCAGAACCACTACATTAAAGGATCACTATAGTGCCCCCACCCTCAGGGTCCCCCTCCCATGGCGCTGAAGGGGTTCAAACCCCTTCAGCAGCTTACCTTTTTCCAGTGCTGGGCTCCCTCGGCGCTGGTGACCTCTCCTCCCCCGCCGACGTCAGCGGAGCCAAATGCGCATGCACAGCAAGTGCCACGAGCGCATTCAAAGTGTTCATAGGAAAGCAAATGCTTTCCTATGGACGCTCTGCGTGATGGAGGCATTAAATGCCTCCAGCGTCGCAAATGCGCCTCTAGTGGCTGTCTGGAAGACAGCCACTAGAGGCTTGCTTAACCCTGAAATGTAAACATAGCAGTTTCTCTGAAAGCCTGTCACCCAGACCACTTCATTGAGCTGAAGTGGTCTGGGTGACTATAGTGTCCCTTTAAGCTGTAATGGTTCTGGTGCTTAGAGAGTCCCTTTAAAGATTTAGCAAATGACAAAACAATCCAGTGCAGACAAGGCAAAGCCAGGGTAAACATTGCAAATATGGAAGAAAAAGAGAAGCATTGTTTTACACATCTGCAATACTTTACAGATACATATATTTGTTAAAGGAACACTGAGCCCTTCATCCTTCCGAGGTAGATACAATGAGTACCATTAAATTGGGTAATAGTAACAACCCCTGGATGTTGGGCTTAAAGGGACACTGTAGTCACTATAAGCATTTCATCTCTTTGAATTGGTTATAGTGCCTGGAGTGCCCTGGCACTGTCCCTCCATTCAGTGTTGCACCATGTTCGTGCAGTATGCCACAAAATAAGAGTCCCTGGCCACCCACAGTCCGGCCCCTTCAGTATGTGTAGCTAAGGCAGAGATTACACACTTCCTTGTTGTCATACCCATTCATACCGTCAGTTGGAACTCTGACAAGCTAAAAGCAGTCAGCTGACACTCTCAGCCAATCACAGATGCCTATTGCCGCTCAGGCTAATACTTCCTTATTAGCCAAAGCAGCATAGAGGGGATGGATTGCCGGGGACTCTTGTTTAGCATTAAAACATTAAAAGTTTAAAAACTGTTTAATGTTGAAAGAAATGATGTTACCAGAGGACTCCAGACACAATAACCAGTTTAATGAGATGAAGCAGATACAGTGCCTACGGTGTCCCTTTAAGGTAACATTCCAGGACGTACTTGAAAACCAGAGTAATCTGAATGTGCCTGGTTAAAGACTTTGTTATTATTATAGTCACCTAAACAACTAGCTTAATGAAGCAGTTTTAGTATATAAAACTCGGCTCTCAGGTTTTACTACTCAATTCACTGTCATTTAGGAGTTACATCACTTTGTTTCTGTTTATGCAGCCCTAGCCACACCTCCCCGGCTATGATTGACACAGTCTGCATGAAAAAAAAAAAACTGGTTTCACTTTCAAACAGATGTAATTTACCTTAAACAATTTGATCTCTTGCTCTGTAAATTGAACTTTAATCACATACAGGAGGCTCTTGCTGGGTCTAGCAAGCAATTAACATAGCAGGGGATAAGAAAATCTAAATTAAACAGAACATGCAATAAAGAAAGGATAAACTTTAGATGACTCTATACATGAAGTGTTTAGGAAGGCTGAGCAAGTCACATGCAGGGAGGTGTGACTAGGGTACATAAACAAAGTGATTTAACTCCTAAATGGCAGAGAATTTAGCAGTGAGGCGTCAGGGGCATGTTCTATACACCAAAACGGCTTCATTAAGCTAAAGTTGTTTTGGTGACTATAGTGTCCCTTTAACCCCTTAAGGACACACGACATGTGACATGTCATGATTCCCTTTTATTCCAGAGGTTTGGTCCTTAAGGGGTTAAACATAACATTTGATATCTTGGGAAGCTATAGTTGTCGTTTAATGTCCCATAGGACGACATTCAACATCTTCCATGTTAGGTGGAAACGGAGGTAAATCCATGCTTGCACCAGGGAGACCAAACATGGAATTGGACACTAACAGGGTTACTTACTAAAGTGAGAATTCAAACTTAAGTAGCTGTCTCTAAGCCAGCTATGCTTTCAGATCAGGTACTTTGGCATTCATTTGGAATTTACTCACTATTGTAAATAACCCTCTAGGGCTTTAAATCACTGACACAAGACACAATTGTTCACCTTGGACAGTTCCTCTTCAATTGTTTACCTGAAGGAAACCTTGCTACCCAACCATGTATGTCAAAAAAAGTCCACTTTAACATTGAACACAACTTTTGTTCTATGTATCCTACTAACCAAACATACACACAACACTTTTCCGCAATCAGCAAATAAATAGCAGCTCTGAGTCATCCTCCACTAACCTTTCCTGGTGGTCTAGTGACCGAGTAGTGTCTTTTCTGCTCGCACGCAGACCAGTATAATACTTCCTTGCAGTCCACATGGAGGTTACGTATAAAAAGTATCGTGTTCACTTTGTAGGCCAAGCATGTCAAACTCGCGGGCCTGGCAAGCACATGCTTAGTGTTAAAGGGACACTATAGTCACCTGAACAACTTTAGCTTAATGAAGCAGTTTTGGTGTATAGAATATGCCCCTGCAACCTCACTGCTCAATCATCTGCCATTTAGGAGTTATATCCCTTTGTTTATGAACCCTAGTCACACCTCCCTGCATGTGACTTGCACAGCCTTCCATAAACACTTCCTGTAAAGAGAGCCCTTTTTAGGCTTTCTTTATTGCAAGTTTTGTTTAATTAAGATTTTCTTATCCCCTGCTATGTTAATAGCTTGCTGGATCCTGCAAGAGCCTCCTGTATGTGATTAAAGTTCAATTTAGAGATTGAGATCCAATTATTTAAGGTAAATTACATCTGTTTGAAAGTGAAACCAGTTTTTTTTTTTTTTTCATGCAGGCTCTGTCAATCATAGTCAGGGGAGATGTGGCAAGGGCTGTATAAACAGAAACAAAGTGATTTAACTCCTAAATGACAGTGAATTGAGCAGTGAAATTGCAGGGGAATGATCTATACACTAAAACTGCTTTATTTAGCTAAAGTAATTTAGGTGACTATAGTGTTCCTTTAAAGCAGAGTAGGTACCTACTTTCTCCACATTGCAAATGCTGACTCTGCTAAAAGTTACCCAGCCAGGGAGGAGAGGTTCCTGGCGGCAGCGAGGGAGCTCAGCCTTCCTGCTCCTCACTGCTCCTGCGCACTCCGTCTGTAGTGATGCCTGGCGCCGGAATATGACGCCATACTCCAGCACCCGGCATTACTAAACTGCGTGCGAGCAGTGAAGAACAGGAAGATTGAGTTCCAGATAGAAGAGGGCCCACACCAGCTCCCAAAAGGTAGGGAGCAATAAATAAAATGAAGTGAGTGCAAGAATGTGTTAATGGGTGTGTGTGTTTGTCAGTGTGACATTGGCTACGACTGGATAGTGGAGAACCTGGAAGTGCATGCAGGCACGCAATGCCACATTTCAACATGACATCGACGTGCTCCACCTTCACAGGATTTCAAGAAGTAGCGGGAAGATTCGCTTTGGCACAGGCGCCATTTGGGGTATACCAGAGGCTGGACTCCAGAGTCGCATACTGGCAGCGGCTATGTGAGTGGAGTCTGCTTGTTGGCTAGAGGGGGGTACTGGGATTTAGTATATAGGCGGGGGGCGGGGGGATTACTAGAGGGGGTGCTGTTTTTTTTTTTTTTTATACTGTACATGTAAAAATAAACCTACGTTTCTATGAAAAAAAAAATAATGTGCGGCCCACATAAACGTAAACTTTGTTTATGTGGCCCATGCTAAGTCTAGCATGGGCCACATAAACAAGGTTTAAGTTTATGTGGGCCGCACATTATTTTTTTTCTTCATAGGTTTCAGTCGAGTTTGACATGCTTGTTGTAGGCGGTTTTCCTGGTGCTTTTCATAAAAGTGCATATTTCCCTTATTTGAGCAATAATTTTTCTTACTGCACTCCTTCCATCATTCTATTTTCCTGTTCCATATTGGTTCACAAATTTGTTGCTTCCAACGTAAAAAAAAAAATGCAAAACTGTGCCTCTTCTTTCAGAGTGACGTGCTTTCTGTGACCAGTAATCAGTTTTTATTTTTAAACAAAAACAACCTTTTAAACTGCACTGTTTATTAATAAAGATTCTGTTTTAAAACCCAGTCACTCTTGAGCTCCTTATACTCTCACCATCACTCTGCTGTTCCGGATCAACATATATCCCTAGGTGGGGATTGTTCCACCTAAATCTCCATACACTAGAGCAGGTCATTGCTCTAGCAAATGTAAGTAGGTCTAATATTATTTACTTATCCTACTTTTACATACGTACTGTACCATTGGTATACATTCTTATTTTTTTCATAAAATGACCCGCACTACCTTGGGAATCTGATATCAAAAAGAAATCCTTAGACGGGGATTGTTCCGTCCAGGCTCCTAAAATAGAGATTTTTAAGCTCTGGAAAACGTGAGTGCCCCTTTGGAATATATCTTTATCACCAGATTATTTATAATATACTGCACCATCATTGTACTTTTTTAAATTTATTTTTATTTTTTTAAAGAGTAAGAAACATAATTGCAAAATCTGCTGCTACCTTTGTATGTATGATTTTATTACAATAATTCTTAGCGCTGTCCACCTAATTTACTAGCTTGTTTTGCACTTATTAATCATTTGGTTTATTTTGCGAATGTAACTAAAAAGGTAAAATAACCACGAAAACATTTTTTGGGGACATAAGTCACCACTGACATTACAGAAAAGGCTTGAAAAAAAAGCCAATTTAGGAAAGACACGAAAAAAAAAAAGTTTTATGAATAAGAAAGTGGTGCACTTATACCAAAATACTAGCAATGCAAACATGAAAGAATGTGACGGTTTTTATACATAACCCCTATGTAACTTAAAGGGTTACTTCAACCATCATAAACACTACAGCCAGCCATAATGGTGATGACCCTGGCACTATTCCCTGGAGCAAACAATGGTTTGCCCTCTTACCTTGTCCCGCCAGGCGCCATGGGTCCTATGATGGCAGCTGAAGCTGGGTCCTATGATAGAAACTGCAAAGTGGATAAGCTCAGTATGTGCAGATCTTTAGTACATATCCCTGTATAACCTGCCATCCAGTGATTGGCTGATGGAAATTACACTTATAATTGCATAAATGTAAAACCAGCATTATCAGTTTATCTGAAATGGGGCGGAAGGATGCCGGTTTATGTCAAGCATTCCTAAACAGATATTAAAAGAAACACCAATAAATATTATTCAAAAAAATTAAAAAGCACCGAGGACATACTGCACATGCACGGCAATTATCGCAATTAATCAATGCTTTTATACAAAAAGCATTCAATCCAAGGCTTCACAAAAAAAATAAAAAAAAAATTCACTGGATGCACATATATAGTTGACACCAGCAAAATTTGCACTTGATTATTGAATCTGTAGTCCAAAGCTCCTGGAGGCTGTCTGACCCACAAGGTGCATGGGATATGCAAAACTTAAATAGTGCAGTTTCTCAGAAATGGCACTAGTTACAAACAGCAAGACTGCAGGGCAAGCATCTGTGCCCCAAAATCACTTTAAATAAAGTGATTTTTGGTACTTAAACTGTACCTTTAAACCATGCAATATAACCATTACAGGGAACTGTAGTGCTTATTTTGTAATGAGTGCCTTCTTAAATAATTTAGAATGTGGAGTATAGTTTTAATACAATGTTAGATTTTGGGCTGATTATGGTTTCTTTTCAGGATACGGCATTACCTACAAAAAAATTCTACAACATGATCCTTTACAGGACCAGTGTGGGCAACACAACAACTTAACTGAAATAAAGTTGTTATGGTGCCAATGAGTTCCTGGTGCTGGCTCACCTTAAAGGGCTAAACTGTTCTTGAACCCCAAAGTCTGTGTTCCAAAGCCGAATCCCCCAGCCTCTCTGTCCTTCCGTTTTCTCAAAATTAGGAAACCAAAAGGCTCTTGCAGAATTGAGCTGTGCCGCCACTGATTTTCTGAGAGCAGTCAGCTGACACTTTCAGGCAGTCACTTGTCATTCAGTAGAACAGTCTTGAAAAGGAACGTACCTTTTTCAAGCCAGTTTTATGAATGGGGATTCACTGGTTGGCTGAGAGCGCCAGCTGACCACTCGCAGGCAATCAGCGGCGTCGCTGATCGAATCTGCAAGTGCCTTCTGGTTTCCTGATTTTGAGAAAACAGAAGGAGGACAGAGAGGCTAGGAGATTCGGCGCTGGAACTTAGACTTTTGGGGGGTTAAAACGTTTAACAATGGTTTCAACCCTTAAAAGGTGAGCCAGCACCAGGGAGCTCCTGGCACCATAACAACTTAATTTCTATGAAGATGTTATGGTAACGGCAACGTTCCTTGAAGTTTTAAATAACAAAAGCCTTAAAAAGGATAATATATACTATGAAGGAAAAAAAATTGCTTATAACTCCATAGCATTGAATTAAAGAATCAATTCAAGGCCGTACTGATGACTTTAAACGGCCAAAATATTGTGGAGTACCCCATTTCCTTGAGTAGTCTCTCATATTGTATTAAAAGTGAACTATTACAACATAGAATATTTAGTTATCCCACATATTGTGAGGTCTAAAATATAATAAATTAAAACGTAGAAATTCATAACGCTGTATTTAACGTTCTCCATGGCGGTTAGTTCTCCTGCCTCTTTCTGTCATAGAACATACAACGTGAAGAATCAGAAAGAATGTTTCCAACTGATCATCTCCCAAAATAAAGTGTGCCCTGGCCGTGCCAGGACAGAACTGGACTGTGATGTCAGTTTTCTACATGTACTATACATTTAAAAGGAAAATTGGGCTATGAAATAAGGTTTGATTAAAGCAATTTATAGGGGATTTTATGTATTTGTGCAATTCCCAGACAAGTGATCATTGTCCTTTTAAATGATTTCCTCCAACTTGGGTCTGTCAAGACATGAACCGCCCTCACCTCAATTGAAACCACCCCCCACCCCAGTTAAAAAGGAAAATAATCGAGAACTCACGTCGCTTTCAACCTCAATGTCATCGTTATCGCTCATGCTTTCATATACCAACAGGAGGGATGGGATCTGATAATTACAAGACGGACCCAACGCGCCGGCAATCCGGAGTGAATCCGAATTCACAGGAAGGCGGCGAAGACAAAACAATCCGAAATGAATATAAGGAGGAGGAAGAGGTAGACCCTCTCTGTGTCCAGAAAAACAGATAAACGGAAACCACACGTGACTTTGCACAGCTAGGGCTCATCAGACACTGCTGTTCTCCTCTGACCCAGGAAGCGAGAGGGCTGCCGGGAAACCAAGTCCGCGACGCACTTCGTCCCAGCGTCGGTGAGAGAAAAGGAGCGAAAGAAAAAACTACAGCTCACGAAAGCCTTAGCGGTTGCGAGTAGAATAGAACGCAGGCGCAGGATACGCGGGTGTTGCCGGGACTTGTAGTGCGTGGGAGGTCATATCCCGGAAGGATTGTGGAGACACGTGGATACTAGGGAGAAGTGTATACATGGGGTTGTGCTGGGGGCTATTACCGCTTAGCGGCTGTGCCAGGGATTGCTCTGGTGGAATGGTGGCGATACTTGCTCTTAAATCAAATAATTGATGCTATATTTATGTAAAATGGTATTTTAAATTAAATTTACATTGCAAAATGGAAAGTGAATATTGCTGGTATGTGTTTGTTTCTGTCACCAAGCTGCACAGATTAACCTAGCTCTGTAGGCCATCAGAAATCAGCAATAATGTAGTTGTTGTATTTCTGTTCTGTAGTAAAACTTGTCATGCTTGGTAAATTATAAAAATGACTTGCTATACAGATTTATGATATGCCCACCAGGAAACTCTAGAAAACGAGAAAAAAGAAGTTTGTAATTTAATAGTAAATTAAATTTATGTTGCATTAAATTTGTCTCTAGGACAAAAAAGTAGAACTGTGAATAGTTTACAGCCCAAAACGTCTCTATACATTGGATTATTTGATCAAACCGGTTTTGGTTGTTTTTTTGTCAGTGCAAATAACATCGTTTTGGTCGCCTAAATTAAATTTGGCCAAGTTTTGGACAAAATAATAGCACCCATAAAATAAGACTTAAGCTGGATCCAAGCTGGCCTTTTATTATTATTTTTATTTTATTTAAACAAAATCTCCTTAAATCCCCCTTTGTCTTGCATGATTGTGAGTGTCCCAAAAACAATAACAAGGGAGGACAGGTCTAGTCCACCAGTAGGAGAGTGAGCTGTCAATCTAATATTCTCTCTCCAAGCTCCTCCCATGTGTAATGGCAGATGGGGACCCTAGCATTTAAAACTAAAACCCAAGTAGCACTAGAATTAGTCCTTATTACTGATTCTTAAAGTGGACAGGCTTAACGGTTAAGATATAGAGTGCAAGTTCAGGGGCAGCTGTCATGCCCCCCCATAATTATTATTATTATTATTATTATTATTATGATATTTATAGAGCGCCGTCAAATTCCGCAGAGCTTTACAATGGGTGGACGAACAGACATGTAGTTGTAACCAGACAAGTTGGACACATTAGATTGAGCAAAAGATTTTGTCTATACGTTTTGCTGAAGATTTTGTTTTATTGCACAAGATTGATAATTCCATAGCCTATTTGGGGCTCACTTTGTGTCAAAACTTAATCATATGGTGGTAGGGCACTTAGCCATATTTTTGGTCAGCACTGGACTGTTCCATATGGTTCTTGCCTTATAACCTACCAGAGAAAATGGACATTTATACACAAATCTTTGATTACTTTGTGGACCCTGGATGGGTGCTTGTACTCCCAGCACTCATTTTACAATACAGTCTCCTGTATAGGGCACCCAGGGGCATCATTATTGGTAAATGCGTCACGATTACTTACCTGGCCTCTCAATTTGTGAGCATGTCTAATGCTGCTAACTCTGATAATGTTCCCTTAAATAAGGAGTACAAACCGCACCAATTTGGCCATGTTGAATCTAGCATCTAAATTAATCCTGCAGTCTAACAGTAATTTTTATTAGTTTATTAAAACAAGTATTGTTATACTTGGAGCATGGCAGCCTTTAATTGGATAATACAATAAAAGTGTAATATTTAATACTAATCTGAAACCCTTTTATACATAACAAGAGAACACCCAAGGCTACACAGAAAAAGGCAACCTTTATGCGATGACACTGACGTTACCATGACAAAGTTAAATGCTGACCTGGTTATTTGTAAGGGCTTATGCTTTTTCTTCTATACTTTTAAATAGAAAAAGTATTCAGGATTAATAGAGTTCAAACAGGAGCACTATTTCTGAATCTTTTAGAAGACAATTTTTAACATTTTAACATTATATATGTTTATTATTATTCATTTTTGTTGTGCTATAATTTTAGGAGTTGTATAAATATGTAAATATTTGAAAAAGCAGTTAAACATCCCTTATCTGTCATAATTTTGTGTACTTTTTAAAAATGTATAGCCTTTAAGGGGTTACATATTTTGAACCATTTTATTTAGGATTCAGAGGTTTTTTTGAAAAAGGGGGGGAAAAAAAATAAGACCGTTTTGCCACTTATTTTTCAAATGTTTTTTTCCAATAAGATATACCAATTCATAATTTTGTTCTTCTATGAAGCTGAGCTAATCCCAGTCATAAAAATATAGCACATTTTTTCAATCTCAGTTGAATATTTTGCCTCTAAGAGATAAGCAAAACTCTGTAATTTAAAGCCAAAGTTTATTTTTTGAGACACCCCTGCCGAAAATGGTGTTTTACTGAACACACAAAAATGCCATTTAAGCTCAGCAGCAAAGAGGTTAAAGCAAAAGAATATCTTGGAATCTCTGACAAGCCCCATTCATTTTAGAGAAATAATTATAATGCTGTTATATAAACTGCTGAGCAATTGGAATAGTTTTGGAAACCACTCTCCTCACTGAAGTCAGGTTACATCAGTCATGGTTTGCATAGATGAAGTGCTCAGTTACAAAAACGTGTTAATAGCCTACAGGAAAAAACAATATTTATGTGGAGATCAGGATGGAGCATGTATTTGGTCATCTGTCCAGAGCCAGACTAAGGTTTTGTAGTGCTTAGTGCCAAAATGTAACCCCCACGGCATTGCTTGAGTGTGTGTGTGTGTGTCGCAGCTGAGTTATACAGTATGTGTATGTTTAGCCCCATCTTGATCCAGTGGAGAGTGACCTGGATCCCTGGTGCTCTAGTGGGTGAACTACATACTCTGCACCAATACCAAGTACAGACCACTATAAGAGTGCAGTTCTGGTGCTCAGTAGATGACTTAGAGTGGCAACCCAGAGTGAGGACTTCACAGCCAGTGGGAAGATCAAAGCTCTACCTCACCAGCCAGGCCACTCTTATGCCTCTTCTGGATACAGATTTAGTTCTCAGCTGCTTCTTCTCTATCAGAGTATTTAAAAAAAAAAAAGTTACCTGCGCTCTCTCCTTAATCCCTATGTATATTTAAACAAATGGAGGTCATTTAGCCACTGGAGGGAATGCCCGCCTGCCAACGTCAAGGAAGACCCCCCTAGACGGGTCCTACTCTGACCCTTCACCCTGCTTCCTTGAGCTTCTGGCAAAGATATCTCAAATGAGACAGAAAGGGGTATTTTTAATATACACCCCTATATAGTTATTAACCCTTAATAGGTAACACATGGGATGGACGGCAGCAACTAAATGACCTCCATTTGTTTAAATATACATAGGGATTAAGGAGAGAGAGCAGGTAACTTTTTTTTTCCCTTTGGTTGTTACTATATGTATTGGAGCTGATGTGTACTGTGGTCGTTGCTGCCACCCAGGAGTGATGGGAGTGAGCGCAGGACTTTTTTCTACCCGGCCACTGTCAGGTCGTGCTGGGAGGAAGTGAGAGCAGAGCACTTCCTCCCAGTTAACAGAGAGAGCCAAGCAGGGAGGTCTGGATGCAGAAAGGAGGAGGCACACCAAGGAAGGAGCCACAGACTCATCATACTCAGCCAGCAGGGTCTACTGGACCCCAGGGAAGTTTGTGTTTGTGTAGTGAATGCAGAGTGTGTGTTGTACTCGTGTATGCATGTTGTGCAAAAGGAGCATTTTGTTTTTCCACATTAATTTTAATAAATGTTATTCCCCCCTTCATGCTTCTTCCTGTTCCAGGAAGGGGGAAGATTCCAGCAGGTGGCATGGTGGGGTCCCCGGCTACCTGTTACTGCATAGGGGGCCCAGCGCACTGCGTCTGTACATTACAGCTCTTTGCTCTCATAAACTCTCGCGAGCATGGTTTGTGTGCCTCGCGGAGTGTTGCCATGGTAAACCATGGCAGCGTTCTGTCGGCTACGCATCTAGCGAGAATTAATGAGAGCGAAGAACTGTAATGTACAGAAGCAGTGTGCTGGGTCCCCGCTGCAGTACCAGGTAGCCAGGGGCCCGCAGCTGCACACACACACATACATACATACATACATACATACATATAGCGAGAGAGAGAGCTAATCACTATATATATATATGTGCACATAGGCAATGTGGGGCCCGGGACTGCCAAAGCAGTCCAGAAACCCACAGGATCACCATGCCCAGGACAGCTGTCATGGATGTCGCCCCCTGATAGCGGCCCTGTGTGTATCTCTGTCAGTATTTGTGTTTGTCAGTGTGCATGTGTATCAGTGTCAGTTTGCATGTGTCATTGTGTCTGTGTATTTGTCAGGATTGGTAGGAACCAAAACTCACAGCCAAATCACAATAAATAGACTTTCCGTATACCGGTCCTTAGAATGGCAGGGCAAATGGAAAACAGAGTCATGGAGGACAGCCAACGTCAAAGAGATACAGAGATCAGGATAAACGATACACTAGCCAAAGTCAAAAGATTACAGAAGACCGAAAATACGATAAACCAGAAATGAATACTACAGTAACGCACAATTGAACAAACAAGAACCACAACAGGGCAACAAAGAGTGGGAAAAGTGAGTATAAACAGGCTGGTCTTAACTCCCATTGATCCAATTTAATTTGGATGATTTGTGCAAAATACTTGACCTCTTCATGTTGACCCTTAATGTCATATGTGTGTGCCAATTTTGGTCCCAAATTCGGTCGCACATAAAAACACTCTGTATGCAAGCATGCAGTGTCAGACCGAACACCGGATGATCGTGGGAAGCAGGCGGCGATCCTGACAGCATCTGTTAGTGTGTGTGTGTGTGTGTGTACTTACACACACACACACATACTGACACAGATACACATATACAATGACACACACATACTGATGTATGTGTCAGTGTGTATGTGTTTCTGTGTAATGCGTTTGTATCTGTGTGTGTGGGTTTTTGTGTGTCAGTGTGTATGTGTATCTATGCCACTATGTGTCAGGTCCCAGTTTAAATTTTAAAAAATATGGTAAGTGTTGTGGACAAAAAATATTAACCCAATCCATGTTGGTAAAATGCCTATTTACTCAGTATAACTACAATCAGCATTATTCAACTTTCTATGTGATTTACCTAAAATGGCCGCTAGGGAGTTTCCCTTTGACATCGACTAACACCCTCATTAACAAGATGGCGCTGGAATCTGGGGGAGACCTCCAAGATACCAATGACATCACACCCGGTAGGAAGAGCACTAAATGAACCACTTAACACCTAACTAATTATTGATGTATTATTCCATGTTATCTCTGACAATGCATATGATGTAATTTTGCTTTATAAGGGACATGCCATCCCCTCAAAATAAACATTCCTCAAGTTTTTCATTAACCCGAAACCTGTGTCTGGTGTGAATTACTTTAGGAGCGTGCACGCATTACTTCTTAATTTGGTCGGGGCAGATACGCAAGAAAATCAACTTATTAATTGATTCCACATCAGTAAGCCTACTAATAATGTTTATTTCACTAAATCACGTGTAGTTTGCCACCTGCTGTTGCAGTACTGCAACTTCCATGTTGCTCTGACAGCTTTAACAATCCTATAGCATGATGGTTGTTGTAGTATTGCAAAAGCTGTGAAT